TTTTTGTAAAAAATTTTAAAAAACATTTTCTATGTTGGCTCCCATATTCTTAGTTCAAATGTTACTGAGCGACTTTTTAAATATTTTTACAAATATTCTCATAATATAATAAATTAAATTATTATCTAATAAGAACAACGATTATGACAACTAAGCTGTTCCATGATGATGCATGTTTTTACATATGAAATGAAGAAAGTTAAGACATGATAAGTAAATATAATTTTTGTATTCTAACATATATGTATGGTTTTAATTATATAAATAATTATGATAGGAAAATTGTCAAAAAATATTGTAAATGTAAACTGTGTTATGAAAAATTTGTTTGAAGCCATTTGACCTGAAAATGGCTCAATGAGACAAAACATCATAATTTCAAAATAAATTTTGAAAACAAAAACATCATTGGCTTTATGAAATATCAATTGAAATTATCCTTTAAATATTTATTTATTTTTCAGTACAACTATTTTTTTTTTTTTTTTTTTATCTTCTTTCGTGTCATCCTCTTGTCACATGTATGGTATTTTAAGACAACTTGAGTGATCTAGTCTAAATGACTGATTGGATTGTTCACTTTATTCAAGTAGTAAATTATTAAATTTATTCTTTGAATTCTGTAATGCGCTCTTTTCTACTTTAAACATGCCAGTGAATTTTTTTTCACTTCAGTGATTTTACAGTTATGAATAGTTGCTAAATATTTGAGTAGAAAGTAAACCTAACCTATATCATTAATCTGATTTATATCTCATCATTTTTCGAATCAATCGAGAACAGCCTTTTGACTTTCCTCGGAAAAGTGAACTAAAGTTTAATATTTTTTGTAGTAAACTGTATTAGTTTCTGTTTTATATCTACCAAGCGCTGAAAAAGTTAAACGATCCATGTCCTATGCTGGTGCAGTCATTATCATAGCGGAAACAGCGACTAGAAGGAAATGAGTTAAAAAAGGAAAATGAAAGGTGACAAAACAAGGTTTGAACATTTTTGTTTGTCATGACTGTAACTTTATTTTTTTTGTTTGAATATTATAAGTAAATAATAATTTACTGATACATAACAGCAAAATAAATGTTCAAATAACCTTTAATATGTTTTTTTTTTTTTTATTATTTGGGTTTTATACAACTCAAGGAGTCATATCCCCAATACCCAAAAGCCACTGCTCCCTGTCCATCCAATCTCCCTCACGAAGCCCTCTGGCTGCCATGCTTTCCTCCACGTCCTCTATCCATTTCTTCTTTGGCCTTCCACGCTTCCTTCTTTCAGGTGGCACATAGTTATAAATTTTCTTTGGCCAGCGGTTCTCATCCATCCGCATTAAGTGGCCATACCACTTTAACCGTTTGGTCCCGATCAGGTGAAGGATGTTCTTTTGACATCCGACCTTGTCTCTAATTGCTGCGTTTGGGATCCGCTCGATTCTGGATATGCCACAGCTTCTTCTCCAGAAATCCATTTCCATGGAAAGCAACTTATTTTCCATCTTTTTTGTCAGTGTCCAGACTTCTGATCCGTAAGTGGCTACGCTTTCTACAAAGGAATGGTATATCTTTTTTTTTAGTTTCTAATCTTAGTTCTTTCCTCCATAGGGTTGAATTTATCGAACTTATTATTCTTTTCCCATTATTTATTTTATGTTCGATATCAACCTCACTACCACCCTTTGAAGATAACCAGTATCCAAGGTACTTGAACTGTTGGCTGACATTTAGCGTCCAGTCATCAATTTCAAGGGGCAAATTTGGAGCGTTAAAAACCATATACTCTGTTTTACTTTCACTGATTTTCAGACCCCATCTGGAATACGTGTCCAGCAACTTCCTCATCATATAGCTAACATCATCCGGATCCGATGCGATTATGACTTGGTCATCGGCATACTGCAAATTGTAGATGATATCATTCCCGATTTGAACACCCATTCCACAGCACGATCTTTTCCAGTTTTTAAGGGCTTGTTCTATATAAATGTTGAAAATCAGGGGTGAAAGGCAGCAGCCCTGTTTCAATCCTTTGTTAATGAAGAAGCTTCTAGACACTCTATCTCCAATTTTTATAGCCCCCGTTATATTTTTATAGAGCTCTTGAATTGCTCTGATGAGGTATCTCTTAATAGATGTGGCTTCCAAAGCTTTCCACAATTTCGCTAGAGGTACTGAATCATAGGCCTTGTGTAAATCTACAAATATCATATGGAGTTCACGGTCGTGGGCCATCCTCTTTTCTATAAGTTGTGAGAGACTAAAAATGTGATCAGTGCATGATCTTCCAGCTCGAAAACCCGCCTGTTCCTCGCTGATCTCTTCCTTTAAATCATTTTCAATTCTGCTTTTAATTATCCGGCCGTATAATCTACTCAGCGAGCTGGTAACAGTAATACCTCTGTAGTTGGAAACATCTTTCTTTTGGCCTTTTTTGAAAACTGGAGTGATATAACCCTGTTTCCATTCTTCAGGAATCTCTCCACCATTTAACAGAAGTGTCATACTTTCTGCCAGTGCCATTTTGAGTTCGGTCGGGCCTGCTTTAATTAATTCAATTGGAATAGAACCAGGGCCGGGAGATTTTCTATTTTTCATTCCTTTGAGGACTGAATCCAGTTCTATGATTGTGACTGGCGGTATATCTTCCTTATTTAGCATTATTTCATCGGATTGGTTCCATGCGAATTCGGGTCGCTCCTCATGAAATAATTCTTCAAAGTGATTCACCCATTGCTGCTCCTTGATCAATGGGAAGTTATCTCCACATCTTTTGGGATTTTTCAATCTTTTTAATGTCCTCCAAGCAGCATTATATGTAATGATATTAATAGATTGAAAAATAATCAATACTTCAAATTCAAATAATGCCTGAATAAACTCAGAAACCGTTTCATTCTTGTCAAAACTGATTTTTTTTTATTGATTTACCATTGATTAAAAACAGGATGCAAACGAAAACAAATAGAATGTTATTCTATGACACATTTTTTTCATTTATTTTCTTCAATAATTCATAAAAACTGGCGTTTCTTGTTAAAAATAGTAAAAGAGAAGCAACTTGTAGCACTACTGGAAGAACATCTTAGGTGAAGATCAACTTCCACCTAATATGCTGCCTCTGGGTTGTTCCTCGCAGTTGGTCTCTGCCACTCATTATGATTTTTATTTATATTATTGGTTTTTCCTGCCTCATCCTCAATGATCACACCATTATCTATATTGATGACTTCCAAATATACCTGTCCTCACGACCTTCTGAACTATTACACGCCACAGAATACTCCAAAAGGAATTGTATTGTTTAAGTCACTGGTTAGTAGTTGACATACTGAAGTTGAATGTTGAAAAGACAAAGGCAATTCAATAAGGTTCTAATGACTTCTTTAAAGTTAATTGTATATTAGGTAGATAAAGAGACCTAATAAAGGAACCACTCTCAAAGAAAATTTACTCCAAGACAAAATAATAATTTAGGTTTAAAATCATCATCTCAAAAATTGTAAGGAACTAGAAGAAATTAATATTGTTTATTATTTATAAGAACAATTTGGCAATAATGAGTTAATTTAATTTTTGTATTGACATATTAAAAGAGTTATTTTTCAAGTAATAACAGTAAATTTAACTGGAATTTTAACAGCAAGATTTGGTCCTCTAGGTTGGTAGAGAGGCATAGCACACTGTAGCAATGTTTTTGGTGAATTGATAAATTGTTGAAGGTAGGAACTCTGATGTGCCAAGGTGCCTTTCTACCACCACAGAGGATGAGGGTGCCATCAGAATTTCTTCTTCTTTTGGGGTACAACTCTAGGAAAGTCAGGGTCTCCTGCAATTCAGTCCACCAGTCATTTTTGTTGGTTGATACAAGATGGAGATACAAACATCCAAGATGGATCACAATATTAAAAATATTTTGGCAAACAGCACATGCTATTTTAATTTTGTGTCACTATCATTTGTAGCACAATATCAATAGATCACAATTTGAATGATAATGATAATGCAACCAATTGTAATACAACTAGATTGTTAGCCCTTCGGAAGTAAATATCACATATTACCATGATTAAAGAGTTATTTTTTTAAGTGTTAGCCCTTCGGAAGTAAATATCACATATTACCATGATAGATAGTATCCTATATGGCTGTCTTCATTGTGAAAGTAAAGAAATAAAAATTACTACGATCTTAAAAAAAACAAACAAGATTATGGTCTTATGAAGCAATATATAAATACACCAAAGACTGGATGAATAAACGGTCTATTTGTTAAATAAAAACAACAACAAGAAAACAAATTGGCACCTGTCTCCCCTTACTTTATCGCAAACTTCTGTTGAATGAAATATTTAAAACACAGTAATGAAGAGAATAATTTAACAACCCAAATTGATTGAAAATGTTGACACACGATGGGGATGAATGAATTAACATTGACAAGTACACTACATAAATAGTTATAATAGGTGATATCAATGATAAATTAACTAACTATGTTAACAAAAATATAAATAATTTTTTAATCAATAAAATCATTAATAAACTAGTCATTCGAGATCAGGATTACCTTTTAATATTTTCAAATCATTTTGAAAGGTGACTTTATGGCAACAGTAGTTATCTTTAAATACCAAATAATGCTTTTTAACTTTCAAAACTCACAAGTTCTTATTTATTCATCATCAACCTAATATTTCTAAGGATAAAAAATGGTCATAATGTGCAGTTAAAAAAATATTTTTATTGAGTTTGCCGGCATTTTGACCAAAGCATGTGGGTCATCAGGAAATAGTTTGAAGGTCCAACAAGAACACAGTGATAATGATTTTTGTTTAATCACATTTTTGGATCGAAATGTCGGCAAACTCAACAAACATAATTTTTTTACTGCACAACCTGATCATTTCTCATCCTTACAATTACAACAGTCAACTTTATATATCTATCTCTAATATTTCTAATACATCCCATTAAAAATAAAACCAGCAAAAAAAGTAAATTTCTTACCTTTTCATCAAAAGAAACAGAGTTTTGTTACGTCCAAACCCAGTCGGATTGATTCTTGGAGGTAATGCTGCAGGAAATTCAAGTTTGCTACTAGGAAGTTCTGGTACAAAATCAACAAAAGCACAGTGCATCATAACTACATTGGGATGAGGAGGAAGAATAGTTAAATTTTCATACATGCTGAAAAAAGAAAGTAATTATTAACAAACATTAAACCATTCATATTCAAACATAGTAAATATTAATTGCGCAGAATGGTAATTAATTGAACAAAATTATTTAATTTAAAAAAAGCAAAATTTAAAAGGCTGGAATTTACTTGTGTATCTACTTGAACATAGGATTAGTCGCTTGTGAAGATGATGTCTATGAATATTGAAAACTGAAAGCTCAGTGGTCAGGAGCCTTAAGTAACTACATGTTGTACAAACATATGCTAATGTTAAGTAACTGCAAGTAACTACTTATAAGTAACTAAATGTTACTTACAGCCTAAATGTTATGCTGATTTCTAGTACATTCCGTCTCACACATTAGTACATGTCAACAAACAAAAAACTTGAATCTGTGTGTGTAAACATTCAAAAAGTATATTGAAGTATTTTGAGAATAAGAATCGTCAGTTTTGTTTGGGATGGAAGGTATCCGACACTAAATTCTATACTACTACACTGTTTCGATCTTTAATGATGTCAAATTCACTAACAATCCACCAATGTGCTGAAGTATATATCTAATTATAATCCATCTGTTTCGGGTGGATAGTGTTATTTCTGTAGTCGAGTTTTGTTTTGTTTTATTTTGATTAAATTATTTTAATGTTCCAAGCTTTTCAAATATTAGTAATTTATACTCGCATATAATCATGAATTTACACATACTATGAAACTAACAAAAATAAAACTAATAAATAATAAAAAATAAATACTTAGGATACAATAAAAAAATACTTCTTTATTAAATCAAGCTCAAATTGTTTCAAAAGATTCAAGTGACCTTATTTAGTAATTTAAGCCACAAAATTTAAAAATCGACTGAGCCATTATTCAAAAAATCATTACATACATAAAAAAACAAACAGAATTAAACAAATTTAATACCATAATTTTTTGGATTTTGAGCTTATATTGTTTCAAATCACTTACAGGATTTCAATGTATATTTGAGCCATTAAATTTGAATATTGGACGAGATGTTCATTACAAAAATTGTTATATACTTGCAGGCATTCATACATACATACATAATCAGTACAACAGCCCATTACCAAACCTAGGCCTCCTCGAGCAGTCTTCACTAGACGGCTTTGTCTTGTGCTGCTGTAGTCCAGTTCAGGCTGTTCGGCAAGTTCCTTTCATCCACTTCCACTCCATCCAGCCATTTTGTCCATGGTCGCCTGACTCTCCTTGCTCAGTGCAACTCTTCTGACATTACTTTTCTTGGGATCTCGGAGTCATCCATCCGAGTGCCCAGCAAAGTCATACCAGCTTTATAACCTGTACAATGTTATCAACTCTAATGAGATTATAGAGCTCCCTATTCTTTCCTTTCTTTCAGACCTTTCCCTCTCTTATTGCTCCAAATATTCTGCTTAGCACCTGAACCTCAAATATCAGTATCTTGTTTTCATCAGTCATGGTGGTTGCCCATGCTTCTGACCCAGCTTACAAGAATCTTGTAGAGGTTTTTGTATTAGAGGAAAGATTCTTACACTTGAAATTCTTGGACAACCATAGAAGCATCCATTGGCACCATTGATTAACCTGTTGACATCCTATGATACCCCATTCCAGCAGTTCAACACAGATCCCAGATACACAATAGTCTCTACTATCTGAAATTTACAGAGGCTAGTGCCCGGGAGTGTGATATGGTTTCCACCACCACTGGGTTGCATATATTTAATATTTTGTACATTACCTGTGAAAGCAAATTTGCTGACAGCTGAATATTTTAAAGGCTGTCGGCCCAAACACATAACCATCCTTGTGGGTTCACGGTAGTTTAGTAATAATAATTAGATCTTATATTTAACAACAAATAAAAACACAATAACTGAAAGAAATAGTACAACAGAACATTTTAACTGTAATTAATAATATGAGATTTATCTTAAAAATTTAGTTCAGGAAAAGCTAAACTTTGTAATTCTGTTGTTAGAGCCAAATCTTCAACAACAAATAAAAATTGAAAGTACCCAATTAAAAATTTGCAAGAAAATGTAGGTAACAAATATGTATTTAATATATTCAAATAAAACATATTTTTGCATATTTCTATTACTTTATTATATAAAACAAATAAATGCTCATATTAAATAATAACATATTGATATATAATAATATCATATCAATTAATGATATGCTGTGTGATTATTATACATCAATAAGTAATACTAATCAAACAAGTGGTTGATATAAATTAATAATATATTATATAATCCAAACTGCACTGTTAACCACAATGAAACTTTTTAATATCTATAACGAATAACTCATAGGGTGAACCTACATGAATCCTTTGAGATTGAATATCTTTGGTCCATCATCAACAAAAAGGTATCATATAAAAATAAATGATTTGTTATTTATTTAATAAAAACAAATATTAATTAGGATGAAACAAAATTATCAGGATTTACATTCAAGATTTTTTTAAATTAGGTTAGCTGACATTTCGACCAAAATTGAACATTTCTTGTCTCAACTCTCAAACGATAGTCCTGAGGATGACCCACATGTTTGCGTTGAAACATCGGCCTAGCCTAATTAAAAAAATTCTTCACTGTAAATCCTGACAATTTTGTTTCATCCTAATAATTGATCAGTCGACTATTACTCATCTCTAAACATTAATTATATGCTTAAAAATGCTGACCTAAGCACAATGATAGAACCTTCCTTTACATAAGGCACAATGATTGTGTACTTTAACTACTTTAATATAAGAGGCATAAACAAGTTAGCCTACAAGTAAACTTATGGACGCCTTTTTTTTTTCCTTATGTTCGGCAAATGATAAAACTTATTAAATATCATGATTGATTTTATAATAAAAAAATCATTATATTCTTGTTCAATGCTATGCAATTAATAAAAAATAAATAAAAATGCGTCTAGTGCAGATTTATATTTCTCCAAAATAGGTTTGAACAAAAAGAAAAACTGGAATACAGAACTTGAGGAAATGTTTATAACTCATTAAGACAACAGTTCTGTGGAGAGACCACATTTAAGAGAATACATAAAATAATCTGAGGGAATGTTATTGACTTTTTAAAACAGGTAGATCCATTAATATTTCCTCCATAAACCTGATTCTCAAAACAAAAGATAAATACTCTCACATTATTTATCAAGGAAGTATTATTTATATTCTGGTATACAATTTATATTTAAATGTGAATTAATGAGGAACACATACACTTTTCTTAGCTAAGTACTACTGCACAAGGACTAGAATTTACATGAAGGAGAAATGTAGACTTATAGAATGATTGAATGAATGAATGAAGGCTTGAAGAATGTCTGAGGATAAACTAAAATTTAAATGGATTATGGAAGAAGCTGAGGTTCTAAATGAACTTTAATGTCAATAAAAGAATCAATTTTTTTTATTTTTTGGTGATAAAATTTTGTTCCGCTTAACTTAAAAAGAAAAAAAAGACATTGATTTCTCCTAAAAACATATTCATTTCACACATAGATTCTATTTTTTATTTCAATATCTACTACTTGAAATAATATGTAATTAAGAGAAATAAATTATTTTCCCTAAACAAATATGTAGACAAGCATGAGTATTAAAACAATAAACATAAATGTTAAAAACAGAGAATTAAAACAGAATTATTTTTACTTAAGAGCACATTGATAATATTTTTAAATGGTAGAATCTTATTACAGCATACCTCTGCATCCAAGGAGCAAATTCGCTTGAAACAAATCGAAATCGTGCTGGGATAGTTTCTCGTAACATAGCTCGTAAAATAGATGTGGCATTTGATTCAATGTCAAAATTAAACATCATTTTTAAGGCAAAAGGAAATCCAGAAATGTGGGACTTAGTGTCAAAAGTTACAGCAGGTTGTTCAACTTTATCATAATCTAAAACAAATAAAAATACCAGTAATGAGAGAGGAAAGGAAATAATAAAATTAGATAATATAGAAGAAACAGGTTTTTTAAAAACTTAGGTGCTCACAAATTAAAGTTATTCATAAAATTATAAAATATTTATTTATTTATTAACCAAACATGAAAGTTAAACATCAAATTAAATTTGCAACCTGCAAATTTCTTTCCAATGAACAAATGTTTTGATAGCTTCATAGTGTCTCATCACTTATCCAGGATATAAATCAGATCAGCAGATCTCTTGGCCACAACCTACGTAATCGTCGTGGTGGGCTTAGAAACCCCTATTCTTGTGCGTTTAAGGATTTCTGTCAAAGGATTCATGTTTTTATCAAAGGATTCAAAGTTATTGTAGTTTTCTTTTGCAATATCTGAAATTGTTAGGATGTATAAGTTTTTATGTAATATATAATTTGCAACATAAAACAGTGCATCAACTATCCTTCAAAACACTTTTGCTGGAATGACTGAATTTATTTAATGTTGGAAGTTTCAGCAGAATCCCACAGTTCTGTGCTGTAAGTCCAGAGTGCTTTAAGTAAAACTTTATAAAGGGTTAGTTTGTCAGTTAAAGATAATCTTGAACAACTGTCAATATAGATATAAATGCTTCTATAAGATATAAAATGCTTCTATAAGATATAAATGCTTCAGAGGCGTGTGAGAGTTATCCATGCACTTCAATAGTGGTTAATATATTTCATTTTTATCTTACCATAGCAGCTCTATATTGCGCTTCTAGTAAGAATTTATCAATCCAAACATTTAACCAGTTGTTACATTTTTAGGGTAACAGATGTTTATGTGGTTGAGATTACAACATTAAGAATCAGGTATAGGGCAGCATAATTAGTAGCTCCAGGGAGCAGAGCCCAGTTTACTTTCACTTTCCTATATATGAAATATATAGTAAGGGACAGTATTATGATCATGAAAATTTTTGAATCAGTAGCTCTTGGGAGTTCATCGTAGACTGTTCCCCTTGCTTATTCAACATGTATAAATAAATAAATAATATATAACATAAATATAAATAATGTATAAATTATATCTTGAAAATTATAATTATATGTAATAAATAAACTTTTTTCATTTCATTTTCAATATTTAAGATTTATATCTCTAAAAATAACGCTTGTTTACTGAAATAAAGAGAAATAATAAAAAACTTGTCATATAAACGACATTGGATATCAGAGTCCACTCCTACGATTGCTGGTCACCAGCAACACAATCAACAGATAGACTCTGACAGGGTTCAACAGAATCGACAGATAGAGACTCTGAACAGGGAATTTAGTTCACTTTTGTTGTCAAAAAATAGCGGTATACCACGAAACTGATGCATGTCTCAGACGTCCGATGCCGTTAGGAACTTCATAACTAATGTCAGTCGCTGGGGACTGATATCGAAGGGCAAGACATGTAACAGATATCATGCTCAGCAACTAACGTGTTAAAATCTAACGAATCAAGCCAATGGTTTTAAAAACTACTTTTTTGTACTTATGTGAAAGAAGAAGTGAAATATAAAAATATTTCATAAATGTGTAAAACATATACTTATAACCATAAATACATTTACAGTAGTTTAATAACTCGAGATCCGATAGAATATTTAAATGATCAGGTATACATCATCGATTTACTAAAAAAAAAATTTCCTTTGTGAGATCACAACATTATTCACTGACAATTAGTCTGACAACTTTTGACCTAACGGTGGTATATTTAAAAGCAAGTAACTGTACTTTGGTATGTTTACAAAGAGTAAAAAATAAGAATTTAAATACATGTAAAAAGTGATAGAGATTTAGTAACTATAATTTTTACTATGTAGTACGATCCTTACTTATTCATAATTAAATATATATACTTTCAAATCTCTCTTAGTATATAAAACTCAGAGACTGGATGTACATGATTCAAATAGACTGATGCAGTTAAATGCAGTTTATGTTATTGTGGTGGTCTTAATAAGTTTTTGTATTGATGAATAGGATCGAAATCCAAAAATATGTAGTTTAAAGTTTAGCTGTATTAAAGATGCACTTCAAAAACTTCTTGTAATAGCCCAATTTTGCCAGACAAGAATTACTTTTCCAATAAGAGCAGTAAATGAAAGTTGTGTGATGCGTGCACCAGATTTTTAATTATTAAATGTAGTGATGTTTCTGGTAGGAAAATTTATACCTTTATTCACAGATCTATATTTCAACAATGCAATCACCTACTCTGGAATCAACTTGCTCGCTGTCTGTACAGATATTACAAATTTTCCAACTAGAAATATCACTAATGTGACATTACTCAAAAATGTTTAAATTGGAGTTAATCATTCTGTCAACTGAAAGGCTCATATGTTTTAAGGTCCATTGAGTCCAAATAACCAAGTCTCACAAAATGATTTGTATGTGTGTGTATATGGGAACAGCCTAGTATAAAAACAAAAATGTGTACAAAACTGAAATTAAATATTTAAGGTAAGTTATGTCAGGGATGTTACAACAACGGTTTTCCTGATATTGGCTAGCCAGAAGTGTTGTGATGTCATGGTTTTATTAACCTGGATTTGAAATTCAAAAATATATGAATGAACCCATACTCTTCTCTCATGTCCCAGCCTTCGTCAGACCATTGACCAGATGTAACTTTTCCTGCTGGAGCGTACTCAAGTAACCATGTCAAGGAGCTCATACATGTCACCCAGAGTTAGTCCAATATACCCACTTTTGAAGACCAGTTTCCAAGAATCATTTAGACAGTCAATGTATCAGTTATTAAAGACTCAAATAATTATAACTCAAGATTGTGCAATATCAACCACTTATGGTCAGAACTACTATTGAGACAGAATCAAGAAGCCATGAAAAGAATATAACAGTAATTTGTCTTTTTTTTTTATTTGTAAAATAATTGTAATTAAAAAACATTTGTTTTTAATTTAAATATAATAATTAATGTACTGATGTCAATAATTGGATCCTACAACATTCACAGTCCACGAACCATTTAAGCCCTCAGTATTCCCATAAATTATTATTAAATATAAGATTTAAGAAAAAAATAATATATATATATATATATATATATATATATATATATATATATATATATATATATATATATATATATATATTCCCAAATTCCCAAAAGTGCAACAAATCTAGTTTTGGCTTTTTACAAACTCATATCCTTGTTCAGATACCCTATTGCCCAACTGGCATGGTAGGGTTGGAAATAAAATAATAACAGCAGATCCTCATAAGGCACACCTAGCCTCTATAACGTGACTACCCATAAATAAATAATTAATTAGAAGGAAAACCTGGCGGTTGAATGTGATTTCGATTTAATCACCTCTCTGCACAACTATTCAGTTGTATTAGTATGGATTTTTTTTCATCATTCCATGGAAATCATTATTAGCTACATTATAATATAAAGATAATAAAATAGCTATGATAATAATTATAAATTTATTATAACAATAAATTTAATATTTTCTAAATTATTTTAACAAATAATTTACAAACAATATTATTATTTTAAATTAATATATTTACTAGAGGCTAACTCACACAACCTATAAAAAATCAAATAAACACATCAAAAAGAATAAAATATACCTTTATTTAATGACTTCCTAGCAGCATAAACCGCTGCATTTGACCCTGTTTTAATAAATGGTCCAATAGCAAATTTTTTAAGATCAATTATTTCATCAGAATTGAATAAATCTGATTCAGCTTCAAAAAGAGAGTCCTGCATACGTTCAACTGCCTCCTAAAATAATAATAATAATATAAAATTAAATTACTTTAAATTTATTTTAAATAAAAATAGAATAAACATAAGTCAAGAGCACATTGCTTAATTTCTTTGATTAATAACAATAATTGATTGTAATGAGTACTGCTTCAAAAGTGTCACTCTAACATGGTGGATGGGCCAATACAAAACTGTCTACTATGGAAATGGCGGAGTGTGATAAAAAATAGATGGAGGCGACTAATCCTTCTGATAAGACCCCGATTTCAACTGAAAAGGACCAGTCATAACGTAGCAAGTAGAAGTCGCAAGTTACAAGGTTACATCTCTAAACATAGTTGTCCCAATTCAGATTTTTTCAAATTTCTATTTACACAGTGATTTATGTGATGATGGTTCAGTCATCATATCAAAGTGATAATTGAGTTTTACCTAAAACTATAAGGATTATGATGAAGCCAGTGACAGCTGTACACTTTTCCCATCTAAAAAATGTAATTAATAATAGCGGTGACATTGTACAAGTGTGACTCCGATTTGATGAGTGGGCCAAGATCCCATGATCAGACTATAAATGGGATTACGAGAATAGCAGAAGATCAACATGTTTACAATATAACCTCCCTTTATTAAGATTGCGATTTATGACTTCGGCAAACTTCCAACTGATCCTTTTCAGTAGAAATTAGGGCATTAATTTTCTTTATTGCATCACTGCTTTAAAGGGAGCTAAACAAACCTCTATCGGGTCCTTTATAGTTGAGATAGGGGCTTTACCAGATGATTCGGTCACTTCAGTTTACTTTGGGAGACACTGGGCCATTGTCGGGATTTAATTTATAGTGTGATCATGGATCTTATATCACTTACCTAAGTTGAAGTGAAACTTGTACAGTAGTACCATAACGGCTTCTAAAGAAGTAATAATGCAGTTGCAGTTCAACCATGATTAATTAGCAGACTAAGGAGAAACTCAAGCGGCATTAAGTTTAAAGCTCAATCAATAACTATCAAGGTTTGAGTAGCTTCAAAATATGTAAAGTAACTAATATTGAAACAATGAAATATTAAAAGCATCATTCTAGCACAATGACTGAGCATTGAAAAAAGAAATTGCTTAGACATTAAATGAAATTATAATTGCTAACAAAATTAATTATCATTAAATTTTTAAGATGAAACCCTGTTCCACTTAAATAGAAATGGTCAAAGATGACAGACAAGAAAAAAGGGCCATTAACAAGATATATTTTCGTTCTTCAGATCTCAGCAAACTGATCGCATTGACTTTCTTCTAGTAAGGAAAGTAAAAAATAACCTAATATAAATCAACTAAACATAAGAAATAATTGGAGAAAAAATTATGATTATACACCTGAGTTAAGAATAATGTCTAAGATATAACTTTCTAAACGTAACTTATATGAATGTAGAGCAAATTTATATTTTAAATTAAGAACGGAGTATACATGACTGGATCTTTATAAAAATCATTTATTTTTATTAATTCTGTAATGTTTAACTTGTCAAATAAAAGTTGATTTATTAGTTTTGTTAAACAAAAAAAAATAATTAAAATTGTATAAATCATCTATACAAACCCTAATTTCCCAACAGAGTCCCTCAAGTTCATCTTCTTTACTGATAATACTTCCTGAGGCAAGACTTATTCCAACAAAGGCAAAGAATGGAGTTGAATTGCCATAAAGTAATTGCTGAGTTGTGCGTTTCCTTAAATCAGATGACACTGGATTTGTAACTCGTCTGAGAATGTTATTTGCAAAAATTCTTCTTGCGTTTTCATAGTGTTTTTGAACTCCAGAAGATGGTGAACTACGGGACTCTGTCCGCAAATTATGTGCGAAAATTTTACTGCGCCAGTGGTAATCGTGCCTACAACCTCGTAATAAAGCCCGTCCATGTGTCCAAAACTTGGACACGACGGACCTAAGTGACATAGTCACAAAATAGTAAAGTTAAATAAAAGTGGGCCCAATATCACTGAAGGTTAAACTTAAAAACGTCAAATCTGGTGCAATCCCCTCCCCCTTTAGCCTCCAAAAGATAAGCTGTTCCAAAACAGCTGTTACACCGTAATGGTTACTGTTCTTGTAGATTACGTTTATTATTGTTCATTGTTTATTATTATTTATCCTTAAAGTGGTAGTGGATAAACGTGGTGAATGTAGTGAAGTTAAGTTTATTTAATTCGTATGATTCGGTGATTTCTTCTTACCGTTTTTTCTTTTGTTTTTTATTGGCTTGTACTTTCTCATATTTTTTTTCAAAGTGACATCTCTGCTAACTCAAAACCTTACTGGCGTTTTGCCTAGGAATAAGATTTGTTATAAATCATATGCTAAAGCATGTCTAGAAAACCAAACTCTGCCACATCCAGGCTCAAACAAGACTACATAAGACTGAAGAGAGATCCTGTTCCATATGTACTTGCTGAGCCTCTACCATCAAATATTTTAGAATGGTATACAGTCATTGTATATATTAAATTTAAGTTTTATGGTTAGTTAATTGTACTATTAAACTCCTTTGGTAATGTTGTCCATTTTCTGCACAAGTTACAAGAACATAGCACATCTATGTTGTTTGTTTTTCTTCTTTATTAACAATTTTTCAGCTTAATTTTTAGTTACGGCTTTTGCTGTGGTTATTTAAAAGTGAGACTTGATCTATTATTGATAATTGATGTCAGTGTCATATTTTTATTTTATTTGAGCAAGTTTAAAATGTCACTAGCTAATGCCAGTGTTAGTTTTTATTGTATTTTCAAATTTCAATCAGTTTTACTAACCGGTTGGTAAATATAAGCTCAATAATAGTACTACAAGTAAATACTTATGTATTGCTTTTCTGTTTGCTGAAGAACTGAATTCTCTCCCTAATTCTTTTGCTTTCATATAATACGTTTTGTTGGTAGATTTGATGATGAATGAATCATTTATCTTGTTCTACTGTTAAGATTTTCCGAGAAAATTTTAGCCAATTATCTATCAGCATTGTGTCACCTTTTTGTTAAAATAATTTATTTTTTTTCAAAACTGATGTTTAGATTGATCTTGGAAAGTTTGACCAGTATCAGGTATGATTGGTGCTATTTTTTCAAACTAAATTGCTGTTAATAACTACTGAAAATGACAAACTGTTGTAAATAATTAATTCATTTAGGATCTATTAGTGCTTGACACAAGTCATCTTTTTATGAAATGTGTATATAAAACTATCTGTTCATACTTCAGTTTGGAGTGTTTCTTTCATTATTTTAAAATATTATATTCGCCCTATTCTTATTCATAGAATCTTTAATTACTTAAGATCATTTAAAGAAATATTTTCCATCATAGTGATTTTAGTTATTAGCAAAGTCCAAAAGTTATGGAGTTTATATTCTTAATACTTATTTATTTATTGTTATTGTTGTTTCTATTATTCATATTGTTTCTTAAGGCATTATGTTGTTATCGGACCTGAAAAAACACCTTATGAAGGAGGAATGTATCATGGGAAATTAATTTTTCCAAGGGAGTTTCCATTTAAACCTCCTAGTATATACATGATGACTCCAAATGGCAGGTACTCTTTAATTTTCTATTTTTATTTTTTATTTTGGTATGTATTTAAATAGAATTATTTAAATTTATATTAGATCTAAATAAAATTAGATTTCCATAACAATTTATAATATACTTTAAAGTCATCAAGTCATGCAAAACTTTTTAATATAGCTTAAGATGTTTTGGCAGCTTACTTATTTATTAATGGGAAGTGAACTAGTTTTAGCTTCCTTTTTCAATGAATTCTGGTTGAATTTTGGCTTACTTCCTATAAATTTTCTCTTGTCAACACAAAATTAATGATAATATCCCCTTTGACTTTATAAGAACCTTTGTTAAACTCGAGAGAAGTCGCTATGTAAAGTTTTTTTTTAACAAACAAGAGGGCCATTTGATCTCTTCTCTAGCTGGCACTGGTACTAGCGGGACGAACAAGTGGGCTCTCTTGAGGTTGCCACAGTTATATTCGAGGTTAAAAATTTATTCGACTGAGAATGTTTTAATAAGTTCTTCTACAAAATGTGAGTTATCATGGAAAATCTTCACCCTTACCGTGACATTTAATATCAAAGGCCAGTTCATATACAAATTTTTTTTTAAACTAAGCTATCCTTTTTTGAATTTATGGTTCTGAACTAGTTAGTATTTTTCTTTATTTGTTCAATCTAAATTCTCTTCTGTAATTTTATTATTAACAGTTTTTCAAAGTATTCTTGTATCCCAGTTGTGCATTAATATTCCCACACATTATTTCCTATTCATCACTCTTTGCTTTCCGTATTTTGTAGTTAAAGGTATATACTTTGAAAAACTGTTAAAGGAAGACCGAAAGGATTTCAAAGAGGAAACTGTACACCATCACAAAGACACAACATGGCAAATATCCACTGAAGATTTAAAAGAAGCCCTAAAAGCTGGTAAGAACCGAAAAGCTCCAGGACCTGGTAGAATACACTGGAACTCCTTAAATATAATGGTAAAAAATTGGAAATAATTCTCACAGAATTAATAAAAAAGATTTTGGCTGGAAATGATCTTCCCAATGAAATGAAGTTAGTGTATCTATGCCTCATATATAAAAAAGGTAATAAAAAATTATGCACAAACTATAGAGGTATCTGTGTCACCAACTCTTTTATGAAACTCCTAGGAAGAATTATCTAAAGTAGGTTAGAAAGAAATATAAGGGTACAGAAGACCAAAGTGGCTTTACTGCAGGAAGATCATGCATTGATCACATTTTTATGAGATAGATAAGATTGAAAATCTAAAGATGTAAAGTGTTTCTTCATTGACTTGGAAAAGGCATATGGCTCAGCTCCAATGAAGCTATTGTGGAAAGCTCTCAAGGAAGCAAATATCTCAGAGCCTATAATAACCATCGTAAGAGAAATTTATCACAATAATTCCTGCTGTGTTTAACTAGGATTAAGTCTCTAAAAAATTCCAGACCTCAAAATGACCTTTGCAGGGTGCTGCCTTTCGCCTGCCCTTTTGATGCTGCTCTTAGAGAGTAGAAAAGAAAATGAGAATATGAATTTGGGAAAATTTATGCATTATGAACCTAATGTTTGCTGATGACCAAGTATTCATAGCCCAGGATAGAGAAGACATCAATTATATGTTCAGAAACTTATGAAAAGTGAGGGTTGACTATTAACTTCATGAAAACAGAGCACCTTGGCACTTCATCTGATTATACGCCAATTGAAAGAGGCATAAAAACTGTAGAGAAATATTCAGAGTAAACCATTAAATCCTATGTCACCCCTCAGCCAGTCTGGAGCGCCATTCTCACTTTCATGGCTACTTCAAAGAAATTTCCACCGATTATCCCCGTATTAGCCTCCTGTGGGATTCTCCCCTAAGTAGCAATGAGATCTGCACGAAGCAAACTTTAGAATACTTAATATCAGCAAAGCCCAGTACAAAGAGACTATATTCGAGCCCATAACGACATATGCCTCGGAGACATGGGTCATCAATGCAAGACATCGAAAAAGACTGTTAGCAATACAGATGGACTTTTGGAGAAGGCAGCAAGAAAATCCAAAAGGGAAAAAATCAAAAATGAAAGAATTCTGGAAATGATAGAAGTGGAAACATTACAGCAAATATTGAAGAGGTTATGCTAATTTAGGCATATGAAAAGAATGATGCCTGAAAGATTGCCAAAGATATATGGATGGAACTGGAAGGAGAAGGAAAAAGAGAAGACCAAAGGAAAAATGGAAAGACGCGGTAGAAGGAAGCCTGGCAGGTCATGGCATCAGAGAAGAACAAGCCTTAGATAGAGAAGGATGGAAAAATATCTTTAAGGATATTTAAGTCTAGGATAACCACAGTAGTGGAAAAGTCCTCAATAAAAAAAATATATATTGTTAGTTTAATTATGAAATATATCAAATCAAATTATGTATTCTTAAGTTTGCTTCGTGCAGATCTCATTGCTACATAGGGGAGAATCCCACAGGAGGCTGATACGGGGATAGTCGGTGGAAATTTCTTGGAAGTGGCCATGACAGTGAGAGTGGCGCTCCAGACTGGCTTGGGGATGTGATGTAGGATTGAATACTTTGCTCATATTTCTCTAGTTCCAAAAGTACCAAACAGTCATAGATCTCCCTAAAGTAAAACTCTCATTATCCTGAAGTGAACTAGTCTACTATTTGGGTCTCCGGGTGGAGACTCCTCTAGGGTATTCATGGCACAAGTTGAAAATTAGAGATTTAAGTGCAAGAACACGGAAAATATGAATTTTGTATACACCAATCAACAAAAATCAGTCGCAAACAAGATTAAGAAGTACAATTTAGATATTGTGGCACTGCAAGAGGTTTGCTGGCCTGAGGATGGCTCACTGAGGGAATGTAAGTTCTCTAATTGGTTCAAAGGAAGCTATAATCATTGTATAGGTACCAGATTTCTAATTTGGAATAGATTACTATCTGCTTAGACCGACATACAATTCTTTAACGATAGAATTTAGGTGGCCATATTCCAGGTGCATTGGCTTAAAATGATGTTGATAAATATATAGCTGTTTGAAAATAATTTTATAAGACGCTAACTTAAGGGAAGATGTTTATTTTCTGGACAGAAAGTTTGCATGGAAATAATAATGGAATTTGGTTAATAAACTTTGTCATCTTGAAAAACCTAATAATTAAAAGTACTACATTTAAACATAAGGATATTCATAAATATATTTGAACATCACCCGATTCACAAACACAAAATCAAATTGATCACCTCTTGATAAAACATAGGTTGCAAAATAGTGTAATTAATGTAAGGTCTTATTGATGCGACAGAATGTGAGTCTGATCATGAGTTAGTATTCCCGAAACTTCAACAAAAGCTAAATTTAAAAAAGAGAAAAGAAAACAGTTTCAGTTTTGAAAATTTTAATTTGGAAAGATTAAAAAATCCATCAATTTGAGCTAGAAGCTAAGGACATGGTTGAAGCTTTTGTATCTTCTAATGAGGATCGTGATGATATTGACAAGTTATGGATAGGGATCAGGGATAACATTAAAGAGGTAACTCTTGTCTTAGAAGAAAGGAAAATTAAAATAACAAACCGTAGTTCGATGAACATTATCTGAATATGTTCCAAAAAAAAAAAAAAAACACTAAATTTAAAAAACTAAATAATCTTTGTGAATGCCCTCTTGTGCGCTTCCGAACCTCAAAGCATGAAATGACTAAATTGTACAAATATAAAAGAAGATAGTATCTGAAAAATAAACTAATTGATGCAGAAATTAATAGAATCAAAAATAGTGTAAGAGACTTGTAAAAAGGCATAAATAAGTCACATTAATGTTTAGGACCCATAATGATTAGAATTAGAGATGAAAATAAAAATATGCTGACCAATTGAATTGAGGATTAAGTTAAGGGTAGGAAATGCTTGCTACGTTTTGTTGCTAAACTACTTGCTCCTGCCTATTGCCCCGAAACTTTAAAATTACAATTTATAAAACTGTTATTTTTCCTACAGTTCTTTATAGATAGAAAACATGGCCACTTACTTTAAGGGATGTGCAATGTCTTGAGGGTAGAATATTCGGACTGAAGAAGCATGAGTCAATCGGCGAATTTAGACTTCATGTTCAGATTTCATGTACAAGCATTATACAATATTGTTAAAAATAATAGATAATCATTATTGTTTATATACATCAACTTACAACAAATAAGTTTGTTCTAGTCAATTACTATTGCGAATAAGATTGAAAATAAACAATGCTAACATTCTCATTTAACATTATTACATATCATGGAAGAAACATTGGACTATGTTATGTATATATTTCCTCAATTTAATTTGTTTATTTACTTTATTATACAATTTATATTGATTATCAAAATCATCAGTGAATCCTGTTAAAACATTGATTTAGATAAATATGAATCAAAGTTTTTGGTAACAATTTAGAAACTCCCATCATCGATATTTATTAGGATACTTTTTTCTTTGCACTCAGTTACATACAGTTATTATATTATATCTAAGTTATATATATAACTTTTATACAGTTGGATACAAATAAATGTAGGAACTCAAAAAATCACCTGGCTAATCACCATACTCGTATCTCTCTTTTAATTTATAATATAGATTAATCAAAGTAGATTGAAATTATCTACATCATTATTAAAAAAAAATTAATATAAACTATATTCAATTTAAGTCACTTGATAAACTATGTAAAATGTTTATTGAAGTGTACAGTTACTTAGAAATTATTATCAAATTTTATGTGTAAATAATATGTATTTCGAAATTGGCTCCAACCCAATTAATTTTACCCTGTTGATTTTGCAGATTTAAAGTAAACACTCGATTATGTCTGTCTATAAGTGATTTTCATCCAGATACATGGAATCCAGCTTGGTCTGTTTCAACTATTTTAACTGGACTTCTAAGTTTTATGGTAAAGCAGTTTTTAATCATTCTTTTAATTCTTTACAAAATAATTTATCACTAAAATTAACTATCATTAATTATTAGCTTTAGATCTCCTAACAGTCAATATTTTTGTTTTAGTTAGAGACAAGCCCAACTTTAGGTAGCATTGAGACATCTGATTATGAAAAAAGGCAATTAGCATATAGAAGTCTCAGTTTTAACCTTGCTGATAGCATTTTCAAAGAACAATTTCCCTCGCTTGTTGAGGTATGTAAGAAATAATTTATGATTGTGACTTATGAGCTTTAAGATAATTTATTGAGTTTCGTAAAGTTTCAAAATTAGTAGTTTGAAATAATTTTTGAGTTGAGATCGATCAACCTTAAATACTTTCATTATAAGATTTTTAATATATTGATATGATATTATTTAATTATAACTTTTATATGTAAGAAAGAATGATAAATTTTATGGATGCTGAGGGCTTAAACGGTTCATGTACCGTGAATTACAAAGGATCAAATAATTGACATTGAAACATCAAATATTTTATTTAATCTCTGAACAAATTTATTAATGAAATAAAATAAAATAATAAAAATTATATTACTATTACTGCTTCTTGATACTGTCTCTCTGGTAGCTCCAATCTCATATATATACTGCTTCCTATTCTATTTTGGCATATAATGGTCTATTTTGGCAAACGGCTGGAAGGAGAGTGGGGTTTGCATCCTCTCCTCTACAATATTTCCAACTCCAATGTATTTTTTGAATGTGAATAATTGAAAAATAAAAATCATTACAATATATTAATTAAAAAAAAAAAATCTGATTGAAATATTTTGTTCTTTACATTCATCTAATTATGTGTCCAATTCAACATAACTACCACTGTTGTAATTGATATGACTTAATTTACTCGTAAAATAATTGTTCATTACTTAGGCCTGCACTGAAACATTGGCAAAACGGCTTTTCTCTTTGTATTCAAAACAAACTTTTCCTTTAGCTGAATATAATCGATTGTCCTTATAAATCAAGTTTTAAAACTTTTCACAACGTTTTCCCTTCGATACCCCAAATTTTTTTGGATGATTTCCTGGACTTTTATAAGTGCAACTTTATATCAATGCTGAAACATTTTTCACAAAAACGGCTCTTAACGATTTTGTTTAAACTCTGTGTATTATTGTATAATGAAGTGGTCTTAAATATCATTTAGGTCTTATCCTCATTGATGCCACTTTACAGGACTTAAATGCCCAATGCTCATATGGATTTAGAGATTAATGAATCAAAAACCAAATACATGCATGCAGGCCCACAACTGGATGTGTACGAACCGTCACATTTTAAGGCTGGAAGCTTTTCATTTGAAAGGGTAAAAGAATTTGTATATCTTGATTCACAATTAAACGCGGATAATGACAAAAGCAGAGATCCATCGCAGAATTATATCCGCAGATAAATGCTAGTTTGGATTACTAAAGCATTTCTCAGGAGCAGGGCTATCTCTCAAAACACAAAGGTGGAACTGTACAAAACCCTGGTAAGACCAGTTCTCACTTATGCCTCCAAATGCTGGACATTACCCAATACACAGGAAGCCCTTCTCCTAAGGTTCGAGAGGAAAATATTGAGGAGAATTTATGGTCCAGTTTGCATCAATGGAATCTGGAAGATAAGAACGAATACTGAGCTAAAAAGACTCTACAAGAGCTCAGATATCATAAAGATAATTAAAGTAAGCCGGCTTCGATGGGCAGGTCATTTAATTAGAATGACTCAGGATCAGATTCATAGGATGGTTCTAGATGAAAGGATTTATGGGACAAGAAAAGTGGAAAGACCTCTTGGCTCTGACGAATCGACGGAGTGGCCGCGGATGCCAGGTCCATCTTGGGAATCCGCAATTGTAGAGCAGTGGCAACCAATAGAGAAGACTGGCGGACCAAGCTGTGGGAAGCCTTGACTCTACAGGAGTTGTAGCACCACGGTTGATGATGATGACGGTTGATATATATAGTATATGTATTTATTATCCTTTCATTTCTTAAATATATAATGATTTTAAAATATGTAACAGTAAATGTTTATTTTATCGACTTATATATTAAGAAATAACCCAATCAGATGTCTATCAATATCATTGTTTATTCATGATATTTATTGTTTCCGAAAAGAAATTTTTTTAATTTCTGGCATCACTTTTAAAATTTACGACCCTATCAAGGCTCTCTGATGTATAAAGTGCCTCCAAGTATTTTAATTTTTGTTCAGAACTGTCCCCATAGAATATCACCAGGGTATCAAAATCAAATTTATGTTTAAAGTCAGATGCATGTTTTGCTAAAGCTGTTTTAGGCCCTTTTTCCTTTATTTTTGTCTTAATAATTGGTACACAAATATTTATTTTAATAAAGTCTGTTATTGAGGTTTTCAGTAGTCATGCCAATATAAGAATTCGGGCAATGTAGACTATGAATTTTATAGATTAAATTATAATTTGTAAAAGGGTGGTGTGATAAGTAATTTCAAATCGTAGCACTGCAATCATCTTTCCTTGTCCACTTAAATTTCAGTTGACCATTATAGTTCATGATTAAGATGTTCAAAAATCGAATGCAGTTATTTAGTTCTATTTCATGCGTAAATTGTAGACTATTGTGAAAACTATTATACGGATTCAGGGTGTTATCAATCTGATATTCATTTATTATCATCAAAATATTGTTTACATATTTTAAAAGTAGGTTCGATTCCGATTTTAATTGTTTAAAAAACATTTTATTATTCTGTTCATCATGATCCTACTAATACTAATGCTTAAGGTCCCACCTATCAGTAGACCAGTCAGCTGACAGAAAAGTCTATTTTCATAAGTGAATATACCATTGTTACATACTAGTTTTAAATTCTTGATGTAGATATGTTAATTAATTATAGGAATGGCTCCTAATTTGTGTCCCATTCACCACTAATTTATTTTAAATTTATCCAAATGTTCGCCTCTTCAGGAATAAAATCTGATTATACAATATATTATAAATTTTCATCTGAAAAAATACATAAAAAATTGTTTTAGAGGATTTACTAGTAGACATGAGCCCATTTATACAACACATAATAAATTAAAAACAAATATTAACCAGTCAACAATACACTCAGTGTCAAAATGTTAGACACACCCATTGAAATTAAAAAAGCTTTTCATGTTTTTTCATTTTTGATTGATATTATTTTTTTAAGCACAGTGTAAAGTATAAATTATGATATTGAAATGGGAACAATCTTCTCAGACCTTGAGAATTATTTTAATCCAATATCAGTAAATATCGACATTTTACTATTTTCTTAATCCTCTAGAGTTGAAATCGTTAAAATACGATTTCTACTTCATTGCAGTGTTGAATTTGTTTCAAAATAGACCTAAAAAGAACGTGAATCATAGGAAAAAATAAGTGTTTCTCCGAAGAAGAGCAATGATGATGATGCAATGATGAAAGATAGTCTCTTAAAGTTATATGGTGGACCCCTATCAATACAAAAGAAGGATTGGAAGACCTCTTAAAAGGTGGAGAGATGGAATTAAAAATAAAGAAATCTCTATATGGGTGGGAGAAGCTCAAAATAGAATAGAATGAGAAAATAAATTAAGTAGGACAAGCTTATTGTTCCAAGCAGTTAGTTGCAAAGGGAAGGCCTATGGCAAGGAGGTAGAACAAAAAATTAATTTAAAAAATCTGCCAAGTAAAGTTAGTATAGCTTCCTTACCGTTTTCATTGGCTAAACTAAATCTATATTAGGTCTAAAATTTTTCGTATGAGAATAAAGTCTCTAGGGGAAGCCATTTCGGAAATTCAGTAATCCCTCAACATTTATGGGTTTGATATCCACGAGTTTTGTTCATCGGCGATTACTAAAATGTGAAAGAGTTCCGCACATGCATATTGCATATTTGATGATTTGTGATTAAGAAAAAAAATTCAAGTACATACTGAACATGCATATCACTCCTGTTAATGCAAAAGTTCGTATGTTATAATTGAGTGTTTTACTGCAGAGCATAAAAACTAATTGTTTGTTTATGATTTATTAGTATAATTTCATGTTTTACTGCCCAACTGAATAAAAATTGAAAACTTTTACATACGACCTTTTGCACTTACAGTAGTGATATATACTTAATAGGTAAGTTTCACTCGTAAAATGTTTAGAACAAAAATCCATAGGAAGAATCAACTTTTTGTTTGTTCGGAGTTTACGACACTAATACTTTTCTTAAGTGAGAACAAAATTAATTAAGCTGGAATATACAAATATGCATGAAGTTCACACAACTTTGATATTTACGGAGGAGATCGAGATAAAGACGAGCTGGTTGAGCTTCAGTAGAAATAAACACAATCACAAATAAGGCTTTAAGAAAGAAAAAAAAAAGTACAGAGTAAAAAATAATTTAAATTTACTAAAAATTATATGAAATCTAAGTAACGGCAGTAATTGTCATGCCAGTAATGAATTGACCAAACAATACAGAATAAATTAACATTTTGAATAAAACCTAAAATTTTATAACCCTTTAAAAATATTGTCTTAACCTAACTCCCACTCCATATGATCAATGCCTTCCGTATTTCCCAGCCATTATATTTTAACCAATTATTAATCTTAATTTTAATTATTAAATGGAAATAAATGAAATTGATACTAGGTAAGTTCTATACTATCCTCCATGTTTGGGTCAAATCAAATGCTAAGTTTCTAAACTATAGGCGTGACAAATAATAAATTTCCTGATCTGAAAGTGGAAGTTTGTGTTTTTGGAGTACTTGATTATCTGTTTACCAATTCCTAACTTCCCTCCCAAGGTGATATGCCCGTTATATCGATTTGACTACAGACTGACAGACACCGAACCAAATTTGATCCGTAATGTCTGAAACATAAAACGTGAGTGGAAATTTTCGATTCTGAGCACAAAATATTTTTTAATCTCTTTCACGAATACAATGCTTCCCTACCTTCGGTAGTGAGGAAGCAAAATGCTTAATGTAAAAGATATAGTAATATTATAAATATAAAATAAAATGTAGTGTAAATATCTAAATGCATACAAATAAAGGCTATCGTTATTATTATTATTATTAATATACAGCAATAACTGATCTCACTCGCATATTACAGGAAATTGAGAAAGAGTTAGAAGCTAGAGAGAAGCGTGCTGCTGCTGATGCTGCACGTACTTCCGGTCCACAATCTGTAGTGACTCCAATATCTTACCAGCCATCATCACCATTGCATCCTGCCCTTTCAAATATTATTGTTCTTGTTGGTGTCGCTGCTTTTGTATTTGCTGTAAAGTATGTTGTTGGAGTGTCCTCAGCACCGACAGAGTAGTCATAACCCCTGAGAAATTATGTTGATAAATGTGTAATGATATGAAAAATTCCAAAGTTAGTTTGTTGATTTTATAAATTTTTAAAAATATATTAAGTGGACACATGCATACATGCTACGTTCATGTATGGTATTGACCGATATGTATCAATTGAAATTAGTTTGCCTGGTGATAATATAATTATTCATTGTTTATAGTTTTGAAAATTAACATTTATAGTCTCATCAGAGCTTTAACATTTTAATAAAGAATTAATATTATTGGTATATAAAGGGTTATATATAGATAGGTGTGTCTGTATATACGCATATATATATATATATATATATATATATATATATATATATATATATATATATATATATATATATATATATATATATATATGTGTGTATACATATATATTGTAAATGTAAATTATTCCTTTTTTGTGGTTTAGAGATGTGCATAAATTGTTATTTTTTTCTTTTCAGATCTTTAATTTAAATTGTTAATATATTGTTCATAGTATTATTTACTTTTCCATTCTCACCTAACTGTTAAATGTATTGATTAGGAAACAAATGGATTGAGATCTATTGTAGACCAAAGACATCTTTGAAAATTTTGTTTACAATTAAAAGAACTGAAATTTATTCAATGGGAAGTCTAAGTTCATGACCATTTTTATTATGATTTAATGTTTCAACTGTGTTGTCATACCATGTTTTTATACTTTTGTCATCCATAAATTATTTGTTAATTTTGTCAAATAAAATTCTCTTGTAAAAGAACCTGTCAACTAAAATTTTCCATCAATACTTTAATTAGTTTTAACTTACTGTTTGTAGTCAGATATTGGATTTTATTTTTTCTTCAGAAACTTCAATTATAAAACAATAAATGATACATGAGAAAAATTAATTATTTCAAGGGGAATTACTTTTCATTACCACTTAACATAATTTTTTAAAACAATGTTACTGACGTTTTGCTAATTGCTATTTTATTTTCCACAATTTTAGGCTCTTGGATATGAATTGACTGTGGTTATCAATTCTTAAGTATGTTTTCATATGTTTCTGTTTGCGCATAAATTTAGTTTTATATATTTTATGAATATATCTTATCTTGTACATTTACTTATAAATAAATAATTTCAGTTACCTTTTAATTTATCTTATAAAATATTAATGTATTTTCTTATAAAATTAATTTTTGCTTTTAATGCAATAGTAGTAATTTATATTATTCACAGTATTGAAATGATCAATAAATATATATGCAGAGGTTTTGGGTATAGTATTTAAAAATAATGTATTATGTATTACATTATATTTTTAATAATATGTCTTTGTATCCCTTTTCTTTTTTTTTTTTTTTTTTTTTTTTTTTCTGACCTAATTATAAACCTGTTTTGGTTTGAATAGAATTAATATTTAAAATGTTGTACTAAGTAACATGTTGAGTTTTATATTCACTGAGATAAAGTAAGAATATTAATAAATTAAAATGCACTCTAGTTGAATATATTTGGCTTAATATAAAAAAAAAAAAAAAAAAAAAAAAAAATAAAACACTTATAAGGAAAAATGAATCTTATGAGACAATATGAATTTTTATTTTGGAAGTTTGATTAATTTTATTTATTGTTATAAATCTTTGTGTAATGATTTAAATAGGTTCTAAAATAATGCATGTTAATTTGTTTTTCCATTCCTTCAGTGCTTCAAATCTTGTTCAATATTATGTAAAATTGTTGAGAAGCCTCGATGAAAAGTATAATTTTGATCCGTTTAATTTAACTTATATTTTTGTAATGTAATCCCTTACTAAAGTAACAGTAACAAATAAATTCTATCTATAAATGGTGAAAAACTTAATGATTACCTCAATTATATTAAACAAAAACTCTTAATATTTTTTTAGTTACAAATTTTTTTATTCTAATACATTCCGTAAGTTAACATGTTTGTTTATGGCCTCTTATTACATGCAGATCAATGCTATTTATCTGCATTAATTCTTTTTATGCGTCAGTCTTTATTTATAAGAATATCAGTAAAAGAAAACTTAAACAATGGTTGTACCTTAAAAATCGTATATATTATAATTATTGTTAATATCTTTATTTTTAGAAATGATATACAGTGGCCAGCAAAAGTTTTCATAAACACATTTTTTGAAATTACAAAAATCAATAGAAACAATGTTTTACTACTTAAAATTATCCTATATACTTATAGTTGTATCCTATATACAACACCTCCATTCAGCCATGGACTATCAGTAACTCACCATCCTTATTCTCTTTGACTTCTCCATAGCATTTGACTCAGTAGACCACAACATCCTCCTAACCGAACTTAAAAATTTATCCTTTTCTTCTGGTGCCCTTAATTGGTTCCAATCTTTCCTTACTGGTTGCTCCCAGTATGTTGTAGTCCCTAATAACCCCCCATCAGAATCTTTACCTTTGTCCAGAGGGGTCGCACAAGGCTGCTCCTTATCTCCTACCGTTTTTTTTCCATCTATATCAATGATCTCCCATCCTCTATCCTGCACTGTCAGTACCACCTGTATGCCGATGGCATCCAAAATATCTCTCCTTCAATCCGACAGATTCCTTTGGTGCCATCCTAAAACTTCAGGAAGATATCAACAGAATTTGTGTGAAAGCCATCCTGATCTGATCCCCCTCACTCCTCAAATCCTTTCCGGTACCTCCCAAATCTTCTCCTGAACAACTCACCTATCTCATTCCATACTTCCCTAAAAAACATTTGTGTTACTTTTGATCAAACCCTCTTCTAGAAACCACACATCTCCCAAATTTTCTTTTGTACTATCTCTACTCTGAAAAAGTTCAACCGTCTACGCTATCTGCTTCCATACAAGCTCCATCAACTCCTGGTTTCCTCTCTTGTTTTCCTCCACTTCAACTATGGCTGTATGGTGTATGGTGGACTCTCGGAAGAACTCGAGGGCAAACTTAAACGTCTAAAGAATTACTCAATACATTTTATCTTTGGGATCTCAAGGGATACACATATTACTCATTATTACACTGACAAGGAGAGGATGCAGTCTGTGGGTCACTGATTTAAACCAAATTTTTTTTTCATGATACTTTCCAATGGGCCATAGGAGCCGAGAATAAATTTTTTAATATAATTTCCAAAAAAAAATTATGTTATTTATTTCAGCCTTTGCTTCGCCTGGATTTTTAGGTTACTATATATCAATGGTTTTGGTTTTTCATACTTAATTAAAAAAACGATATTAACTATAGTGTTAAATGAGTTATAATATATAATACATTTCAAAAACCAAGAGGTGCTTCCAAGTACCAAGAAGCCAATTAAATTTTTGTTATGAAAAGACAAATTAGATTTACTTTTTATTTATACTTTATTCTAAAGGGACAACATTCCCAGATTAATAAAAAAATATTTTCATTTCATTTCATGTATGGATGTATCTCGAGGGTCAATATAGAGCAGCTAAACTGTTGGTGTGATATCTGGTATAGAGCATATACCGGAAACCTTTTTTATAATTAGAGGGAAAATTATGCTTAAAGTTAGGCAGTGATAATGAAAATCATAATAAAGAAGAGAAGAACAGTTGGGGTGGTCAGTCAAAAAAGAAGGCAAAAATAAATGATAATATTTATTTTTACATATGCCGACATTTCGACCTGAAGTTCAGGCCTTCATCAGGGCTAAGAAAATATGAGAAACATAAGTAGTGATGGTAAAAAATAAATAAAAAATTATTAAAAAAAAATAAATAAATATAAAGTAAAATGAAATTGTTAGAATAATGACTAAGAACTAAGAGATAAATAATAATAACCGTTACAAAGTGTGGAATGATGAAGTAGGCATAATCAAAAAGGGTGACATAAGTGTTACAATGGGAATCTTAGAATGAAATGTAAAACATAAAAAATAAATATGAAGTTATATAAGAAATGAAAATAAAAATAAATAGTAAAATTTATAAAATTAAATAGTAAAATTGATAGTAATTAAATAGTAAAATTTATTTTCATTTCTTATATAACTTCATATTTATTTTTTATGTTTTACATTTTATTCTAAGATACCCATTGTAACACTTATGTCACCCTTTTTGATTATGCCTACTTCATCATTCCACACTTTGTAACGGTTATTATTATTTATCTCTTAGTTCTTAGTCATTATTCTAACAATTTCATTTTACTTTATATTTATTTATTTTATTTTATTTTATCTATTTTTTTAAATAATTTTTCATTCACTTATTTATTTATTTATTTTTTACCATCACTACTTATGTTTCTCATACCTTGTTATCTGGTTATTTTCTTAGCCCTGATGAAGGCCTGAACTTCAGGTTGAAACGTCGGCATATGTAAAAATAAATATTATCATTTATTTTTGCCTTCTTTTTTGACTGACCACTCCAATGCTGTGATAAAGTCAGTTCTAATATTTGGCTGTGAGACCTGGGCACTAACAAGCACCCTAGAAGAAAGTATTGAAAGATTTGAGAGGAAAATCCTCTGCACGGTATCTGGAGTGATGTGGGATCGGAGTATCCAACACATGGAGAAGAAAGACCAATAAAGAACTACTTACAGAAACTGGTTAGTCAATATCCTATGATATGAATACACGGAAAAACAGCAAAATCGCAAAACATGTCTACTAGTGTGGACTAGGCTTATGAGAATAATTGTATGCTAATAATAATATTCTAATTAATATTTAGAGATAAATTGAATGAAATAACATTTAAATATTACTTAATTAGATACAGCTCAAGAATAAACATAAACTTTGAATTAAATGTAAATTAACTTTGGAAGATGACATCACTGGCCAGAGAGCTCAAAAAATCTCTAAGGCCGGCCTTCTATGTATATATATATATATACATATATATATATACATATATATATATATATATATATATATATATATATATATATATATATATATATACAGGGTTTAAGGTTGTTGTTTTTTATATGTATATTAAAAAAATTAATGAAAACTTGCATCACTACAACCCATGAAGGATTTTCGGTTCACTACTTTGTTAGGAAGTACTGTTTCAAGACCAACAGAAGGTGCTCAGGCCAGGATCATGCTCAACCGCCAGGTTTTCACCCATATTTTAATATAAAGGCTGGGTATGCCCCAAGAGGTTTTCCCGACCCCAGGGTCAATCCACAGCAGATGAAAAATTACTTGATACCCGGCAGTAGCGGACCCAGAATTTAATTTTGGGAGGGGGGCTTCAGCCCGAAAGATTTTTTTTCATATACATATAATGATAATTAATTTTTTTCAAAAAGAAAGAAATTAACTACCTATATGAAATGGTGTTTAAGTGGTTCTTGAAGTCCTATTAAATGTAATTAAACGAACAAGAATACTTTAAGAGGTTGTTTTTAATATTTTTTTCTATATATTTTACCATTTTTTTTGGGAGGGGGGGGGGGCTTCTGCCCGAAAGAGCTTTCGGGCTGAAGCCCTCCCAAAATGGTAGACTATAACCATGTTTTACAGAAAAAAATATTAAAAACTTTAAGAGATAGTTTTTCCCAAAAAAATGGTAAAATATATAGAAAAAAATATTAAAAACAACCTCTTAAAGTATTCTTGTTCGTTTAATTAAATTTAATAGGACTTCAGGAACGACTTAAACACCATTTCATATAGGTAGTTAATTTCTTTCTTCGTTTTTTAGAATTATTTTTATGAAGATTTATGAAAAAAAAATCTTTCGGGCTGAAGCCCCTCCCCCCAAAATTAAATCCTGGATCCGCTAGTGTATCCCGGGATTGAAGAATACCGCCTGAAAACTACCAGAAGCCGCAGGTTTACCAACTGTGATGTAGAGTATAGCTGAGGAACCGTTTTAGTATAGAGGCGATAAGGTTAGGCAGCATACCTGTATAACGTTGAAAGAAACTTTGGTAATTATTTAGATGAAGACCCCACGGGTAACGTGTGATTCACAATCACTTCGGTCACACTTGTTCATGAAGTGCCGAGTGCAACAGGGTTTATTTGTAGGACTATTTTCGATGTTTGTATGATCGAAGTGATTGTTAACAACGCGTAACCCATGCGGTCCTCATCTAAATAATTACCTAAATTTTTAATCAAGAACCTCTCCAACTCTCTCGGTCAATGGTGACCTGATTTAGCTATGTTAAAATCTGGTCACCTTATCCTAAGGTCCAATGCTGGTTCCCGGTTGCAAAGGCGAAAGAGAACTGAATGGCGGAAAATCATAGCAGTGGCAGACATCTGCGCTAGCCACAGGCGGATCTACGGGTGGGGCTTTCGGGCTGAAGCCCTTCCCTCCAAATGGTAAAATGTAACCATGTTTTATTGTAAAAAGTATTAAAAAAGTATGTCTTATGGTATTATTGCTCGTTTAATTACATTTAATAGGACTTCAAGTATCATTTAAACACCATTTCATATAGGTAGCTAGTATCTTTCTGTTTTTCCAAAGTAATTATCGTTATAATGCCTAATAATTTTATATATATGAAAAAAAAGCTTCCGGGCTGAACACTAGCGGATCCAGGATTTAATTTTGGGGGGAGCTTCAAGCCGAAAACTTTTTTTTTCATAAAAATGATGACATTTACTTTGGAAAAAAAGAAAGAAACAAGCTATCTATATGAAATGGTGTTTAAGTGATTCCTTAAGTCCTTTTAAATGTAATTACACGAACAATAATACTTTAAAATACTTTCCAAAACAAGGTTATATTTTACCATTTTGGGGGGGGGGGAGCTTCAGCCCGAAAGTCACCCTTCCGTAGATCCGCCCTTGGGGCTGAAGCCCCTCCCCAAAATAAAATCCTGGATCCACTAGTGGCACTAGCTGAACAGTTGTTAACCACTAAAATGTTGGGGAGGGGAGCCTAAAGGGTCCTTTAAGGTCTGCCAACTTTTTTACTTCTTTAATTTACTACAAGTACTGATTTCTTAATTTAGACCAAATCGATGGGTAAATACAGTATGCTCTTTTATGGCCATATTGCTGAAACCTTAAACACTGAGGGTGTTTCCTTTTTTTTTTTTTTTTTTTTTTCAATTTTCATACCAGAGTATTATTGTTATTGATATGTAAAAGCAATTGTTGAGCAATCGGTTATTAAAAGTTCAAGTAAACTACCAAATTCCTTTTTTTTCTCTCTAAAAAAAAAATATTGCTATTGAATCTATTCCTAAGGATGCAGAAACTTTTTCCCTTCTCTTACGTTAGATAAAATGGGATTTTCCCGGTCCAGAATAGAGGGCATGGGATCTATGCCAGAGTTGAAAGCCCCCGTGGCAGGGGTATTTGAAACTCACAATCTTTGATTTAACAAAGTTGCCGCATGTTTTACACACGCCTTACCTCGGCCACCCCGCCCTCAAAAGACCTCGAACTAACCACTATCGTTTTACTCCTTGTCCACACTCTGACTTCATAAAATTCAAAACCTATATGGAACAAACGTCATCACATTAAATGTATCAAGATCAATGAACTATGCAAGGTAAAGAATCCGATGCACCCCGAATTGTATGTTTTTTCGTTCTGTTTTTCGTTCGAGGTCTACTCTCCTTTAGAGCCTTGTTCTTTCCTGAGGGGATGACTTGTTATGCATGTATTGTTTCGTTTAAAGAATATGAATTAATTTTTTGCCAAGCTGCTGCATAGCGAAAGAAATAAAAATTGTGACCTAGCCTAAAATAAAGAAATATAGAAATACAACAAAATATATAATGTAGGATTGAAATCGTAAACAACTTTGAGGGGACAATTGAATTGAAAAAAGGTTGATAATGAATCTAGTCAATAAATTTTTTATGTTTATTAATTATCATAGTTATAGACGTATTGAAACAAGTTTTCCCTTTCAAATTAATTTACAAGAACTATTGTTAGTAAAAAGGGGAGTCGTTGTGGCTGACCTGTTATTGGTTTTCGGGATTTAGTGATAATAGTAGAAAGGTTATTTTACCGATAAGTGACCGACGGGGATGTAAAAATGTTGTACGCAAGTAATTATTTTTCGTTATCACCTCAAAATTTGAACCATCAATTAAATAGAGAATATGGCCTTTATTTAATGATCAATTACACTGCAAACTCTAAAGAAATACTTAATAGTTTGTAACAAGCCACGCCTTAAAATATTTTGAAATGGACCTGGCTTCCAGTTCCATAGATTCTGTGAAACTTGAAAATTCAGATGAATTGATGTTTAGTGAGGACGAAGATGATGTTCCCAGGTCAGTTATTTATCTCTCATACATTTAATATCTGAAATGTATGATTGAATGTAGTAATACCACTTTGTTTAGATGTGGTGTTTCTCTTAATGAACTTAAGACCAAAATAAAAACGGAATACTCATCAAACAAAGAAGAGGAAGACATTAATGTTGAGAACAAAGATGAAGAAAACGATAGTATTTCTATAATTCCCAAAAAAGAAATAGAAGATGAAGAAGATTTGGAGGTGTGTTGTTAATCATATATTATTTTATTTTTTATAATTTAGATTATAATAAATATGAATTGTAAAACAATTAAATAATCCGATTCTACCCCAAAATTATTTCTACTCTGTTGAGGGATTAGTTTTCATAATTACTGTTTTATTATTAATTAAAGTTTGTAATTGAATGATGGATTTTTAATTTTTTTTTTTTGTTATTTAATATTCATGTATCATTTGAGTTAAGTGGTAGTTGGTTAAAGTCTGAAAGATAGTGAAAGATTTAAATTTTATTTTGATGAATCAATAAATTTACTTAATTTATTAATTCAACATAATAAAATTTAATTCTTTCTCTATCTTTCAGTCTAGAAACATGTAATACAAATTATCATGATGCAAACTTAAAACAACTACCACTAAAGGAATGCAACACAGCACTTAACGAACTAACTGAGCACAATAGAGTTGCAGTGGATTGGGTGGCCGGTCACTCGGGCATACCAGGCAACTAAGAGGCTGATGAACTAGCCAGATTGGGCTCAGATACCATTCCTGTAACTCCCGAGCCTGTCTGCGGAATCAGCCTTAGCACTACCAAGGGTAGGATAAGGAGATTTATGGTAACAAATTTAGTAATTACTGGACTGACAAGAAACAGCGACATTCGAAGCTGTCCCTTAAAGGTCCATGTGAAAAAAGAAGCAAACTCCTACTGAGAATGGTAAGAGCAGCCCTTAAGAAGCTTACAGCAATCTATATAGGTCACTGTAAGCTAAATTACCATATATTCAATCTCCGAGTAATGACGAATCCGCTATGCAGATTCTGTCAGGAGGAGAATGAAACAGCCTTTCACATCGTGTGTAGATGTGATAGATTCACAAGGCTTAGACTGGTAGTATTTGGGGAGGAACGAATGGATCTCCCCAGCGGTTATGAGTCTGTCAATCCAACCAGCCTACTTAGATACGCGGAAGCGACTAGAATAACGTTTTGATTAAAAACGACTAACTGAAATTGGCACACAATGGACCCATTAGGGGTCGATGTGCCCAGGGCCAGCATTGGGAATAAAAAAAAAAAAAAGATATTAAATATCTGATGTTCCATAGATCAGATATATTTTTCGATAACAAGAAACACCATTGGCTTTTTACATTTTTTTGTTATATATAGTTATTTTTCAAGTTTGAGCCTATTGTTACTTTCTTTTCCTCTACTCAGGTTATGGTTAGGGATAGTTGTGGTAAATAAAGCAAATAAATAAATAGAATATGTCATCTTTCATTTAAATAATTGTAATTATTTTGGTACAAAATATAGTTATGATGGTCAGTTTTATACTTTTTCTTTATTGAGTTCTTTCTTAATCTGTATTTCTGAATATCATATAAAATCTTACATAATTTCTTAACACGTATTCGTCCAGCAATTTTTTCACCGTCATGCACACAATTTCAGAACCTCTTGATCTCAGTTTGATAAAGATTAGAATTTAATTTATTTATAATTAAAAGAACAAGAATCAATTAAATTTAGATCAAAGATTAACAAATTTCATTGATGACTTTGAAGTTTTACGCCTCATAGCCAAGACAAACAAACAAGAATCAATTTTCATCTCTTGGCTGTTGATTGTTTGCGAAATGACAAACTTTCATTGATGCAGAAATGTGTTAATAATTTTTGTTGTAAATTAAAAATTATTTTATCGTCATAAACATGGAAATAAATTTAATAGTTTTGTTTTCCTTGAATATTTTATAATATGAGACCGGATGTTTGTGCATTAAAAATCTGAAAAACGTGCAGCAAAAACTCAAAATGTGCAGTAAAAACCCAAAATATGTGGACTTGTATAATTAATACCAAAAATTAAATCATCTATTTTGTTTAATTTATAATGTAATTCATCGGAACTTTATCAAACCTTGTATGAAGGTTCTAAATTAAAATAATATGTACCTAGTGAGAAAAAAATAATTTAAATATATTGAAAATGAAATCCAGATTACAATGAACAAACGACAACACATGTAATACTACGATAAATCATGATTAACATTGACTTAATACCTTTTCTATAATTTCATCAGAACAATGTGAAAGTAAAGAATGTACAACGTTAAACAGGCTCATATTCATTATTTTTAATATGGTGCCGATGATTTAACAACTAAAATTTAAAGATAAACATGCCAGTTAATGCAACAAAAATCAAAATCTTGCAACTTAGGTCAAAAACAGCAATGTTGTGCAATTTTAAATTTGAATATGTTATTCTACAGCTCGTGAAATGGATAGATAATCAGAATTGAAGTTTTCAAATGCAAGGGGATAACATGGAAAGCCAGTCTCAGTTGTAATCCCATTAAAAATGATAATACTGAAAATGCAATGTGCTAAAAAAAATTTAGGATGATAGTAAAGCATGAAGATAGTGTGTTTCTATTCAATTAATGTATTCAATGGGCAAGAGTCTAAGAGGGGAGCCTAGAGGAGGGCCATCCAAAAGTCAGCAATAACAAAATTCTTTAAAATAAAATGATAAAAATGAATTTTTATGAATAAAAATTATATGACTTAAGTGAACATATCCATATGAATGAAATTAGTGAAGTTATTGTGAAAGTAGTAAGCTATTGAGTATTATTATTTTTTTTAATGTAGGTTTCCTGAACACACTATATAATCGTACGTTTTAGTTTTTCCAAATACACTCCTACAACAAGTAGTTGGGATTACTGAGATTGCTGTTTCAATGTTCCATAATTTGTACTCATAGCCTATGGATATATGGATTATGGCAGATCAAGGTCAAAAGGCACACAGTATTTTGGTCGGGAGAATCTAGGATTGTGCATAGCTTTCTTTATGAAAAAGTTGCCACCTATCCAAGTACTTACCATGCTTGATGTGTCATAACTTTGATTTTTCATTGCAAGTCCATATTGATATTAAATTATGTGGTCTTTCATATGTTTGGCACAGCTCTCCATGAAATATTCATTGCCCATTTTCATACACCTCATCATATATCTGGCAGAGAACCCTTCCTCTACGAAGCCTTAAATATCAAGCAGGCTTCAGAACCATAGGTGACAGTGGGTCTTATGACTTTCTCATATACCTTTAGTGCTTTCTTATATCATAATTTCAGAGAACTTTTGTTCTCTGTTATGTCCAGATTAAAGTTTGTTGTGTAGTGCTTAGATGACAACAAATTACAAAGGGTTATATAAAATAGAATAAATAAATAATGTTGGACTGAATTGCTCGATTTAAGCCTAAAACCATGGATGGTTGAAAGCAACGATAACTGTCCAGTATGTAACTCTCTAGAAAAAGAGGATATCATTCACTTTTTAGGAACTTGTCACATGTACAGTGAGATAAGAGAAAAATATTTTGGGCGGCACACCTGTTCTCCAGAAGAATTATTTGGTTTATTAAAAGGTTCTAACTGGAAAGCCTTGAGAAATTATCAACAGCAGGCCATATTGCAAAGACCTCAATTAGTCAGTTAGTGAACCATTGGAACAATATCGTGTTTATTTATTGTAACGTTTGTTTTTTTTTTTGTTATATTGTATTTGATTGTTATTATTACTATTGTTTAAATTAAATTTCTTATTTTTAAGGTATTAATGTGTGTTTTTTAAAACTCTATTTATATAAATGAAACAGTGAAGGAAGAAATTGCTATAATGGAGGTATAAATATATAATAATACTACAGTATTATTATATATTATAACTCATTTATTTTGGTTATAGATCTAATGAATATTTTTATGAATTACACACAGACCTCGATAGACGGAATTTTCCATGGTCTATGTGTTGTTGCTTATATATATTTTACTTTGTACTTTTTTAAGTACAATAAACATGTTTTCATTCAAATAAATTATGTTCCTTAAAAACAACTTACATCGAATACTTTTTAAAATATATTAAACTAGTTACTCTTATCATCTGCCGTTTCAGTGCATGTTATTTCCACTAAAAATTGAGCAAACTTGAGAAGATTTCTTTCTTGTATGTGGGAGGGGATATGTTGAGTGCTTGTCCCTGAATTCTAAACAATAGCTCAAGAAAAATTATATTGGGATCTTGTAATATATGTATATATATATATATATATATATATATATATATATAATATATATATATATATATATATATATATATATTATATATATATATATATATATTACATTTCTCATGTTTTTAGATTATACAAGGATTTTTTCCTAGGAGAGAAGGCAGGGAATTAATGCCAGAGTTAAAATCCCCTTCGGCACCGGGACACTGATTCGTTATTATTTTATGTCATGTAAAATTGTCGGACAACATGTGTTTTGCACACTCATTAATCCTCTCGGCCACCCCACCCCACAATTTATTATTTTATTTATTTATTTTCTAAAATTTAACTTCCTTTATTCTATACAGAGGTCATTTAAGAAGGCCTCTATTGTAAAATGATATAATTATAATAATAAAACTTAATTCAAAAATACTTTGCTGAATATCTTGAATTTTTTATTTAACGTTTGTAATTGAACACTTTGTTTTGTATATTTACTAATTCTTAGAGGTAATTTAAATTGTATATACTTCTCCGGAAATGAGTTATATTAATACCTGTTATATAAACTAAAATAATATGTACCTAATCTGAATTACATATAATGAATAGTTGATGGTTGCTAAGTAAAACTCATATATCACTAATAAAAAAAAATTATTTCCACTATTTTGCTTGAAAGTAGAGCCATACCAAATTTTAATATTGAATGCATTATTTTCTCTGCACAAAGTAAGATAAAAATGGCAAAGCTATAAGTTCTTCTTGGTAACCGGAACTGATTGTTAGTATTTGGTCTCAAAATGAGGGTAAACATGATATTGCACCCAAAAATTGGAAAAATAAACGAGCTTTTCTGAAAAACAAGTAGATATTAGCACAATCCAAAGTGAGGCACTAAACAGATAGAGAGCTATTTTTCTTTCTTGATAGACTTCTCTATAACTTGCCTTAAAGTGAAGACAGTCCCAATTTACAACTACTGTTCCAATGTGCAACTTAAGTTTCTCAATCCATATCGCTCTGGCAATTGACAATAAATAGTTCCTATTCTAGCTTCTACGATTCTTGAGTGGAGTTTCTTTTTTACACTACACAGGAATGAATCTCTATGGGTACTACATTTCCTAGTATCTCCTCTCTTGTAAAGGGACAAAACTACAGTCCTTTCATATCATTTTCTAATACATTTGTTGATATGTACATGCAGGAGTTCGGTTCACTTTGTCCAGACCACTCGACTTGCCAATTGCTTCGAATAAATCTTTCTTGCTGATAAAATGGTCTTCACTATAATAAACCTGCATCATCCTCTTAAAGTCAACCAAACTGCTCCAGGATTTGCCCCTCTTTTAGCAGCATCTTGAAATATTCTGTTCATCTGTCTACTATGTATTCGTTTACCCATATAATGGATACTGATCCTTATTTTCTTTTCCGATATTTGTTCACTTCCTTTGTATTTTTACAATTTTTGGATTCAATTTCACATTTTCCCTCATTCTGAGACCAAATACAAACAGTCAGTTCTTCACCTAAAAGAACTTAGCTTCACCCTTTCCATCTTTCTTTGTGCAGAAAGAATAATACATACAATATGAAAATTTCCTATTTTTTTATGATATGGTCCCACTTCCGTACAAAATAAAGGAAATAAAAATCAACTTTTTTATTAGTGATATTTGAGTTTTACGAAACAAGCCATCAACTATTCATTATATGTAGTTCATATCAGGTACATATTTTCTCAGCTTCGTGGCTCTGCACATTCTCTCTTGACGGCTCGTCACATTCTGTCTTGGCGGCTCATCACCTTCTGAGTTACATGAGGCTTACTTCCCCCACCATCCGCACGCACTTCCTCCCTGTAGTTCGTGCTGTTACCATTTTCACGCCAATATTAAAATGCCCATGTAATGTTGACATTACAGTATATAATCAAGGAAGTTAAATTTTAAAAAATAAATAAATAAAATAATAAATTTAAAAAAAATTGTTTAATTTTTTTTGACAATTAAATGATTGCATTAATATTTGTTCATTAACACAATCAATATAATGTACAAAAAACGTTATTGTAACACTGTAACTAAGCCATTTATGGGTACTGAATGGTGTGTTAAAGGCATGTGGGCACCTACGTCAGTTCCGCTTTTCTGCTGTTTAAGTGCATTTTTATGGAGCTTCAAATATTTTAAAAGTAATCACTGTTTTAGCAAGAGAAATATATTCTCCACATGTTTTATTTCAGCACATTTTGTGTTATTGTTGGCCGTTTAATTACAAACAACGCTTAATTTTCAACTTGAAATTTTTGTTTAAAAAATATTAACTTTACTGGTGTTTTTTTATTACCTAAGCCAATTTTTAATATTTTTTCATGTTTTATTATTCTCTGACTATCCAGCTTTAATAAAAGACCCACATTGGCTTTTTGTTAATAAATAATTACAAGGAACACAACGATGCAATTTATAAGGACGTGGGGAGGGTGCACAATAGGGGAGTCTGGCTCACATGCTATTAGATTCTTTGTGATCTTTCTGATTGCTATGCCCAAATATATCTTATAAATCACGGTTAAACCATGTTAAATAATATTCAATCACAAACAAATAAATACAATAAGGATTCACAAGGTGAATACTTTAAAAGCAATTAATAAAACCTCCGTGAGAGAATGGATGAGGGAACATGGACATATTCCTTTTCTCACCAATCTAATTTATTCTCCCTTTTCTTCCAGCCTCCACCAAGTTTGTTAATAGCTAAACCCTAGTAGAGAGGAAGTTAATTCAGTCCTGAGATTTTTTAGAAACATATAATATTTATTGAAATTGGCTAAAATACTAATTTACCCATATCAAAGTTCCAGGATAGTTAAAAGAGAATTTGTGGTTCCACTATCTTCTATTATTTAACAACATACATATTCTTGAGGATTATAATGTAATTGAAAATATTAATCAATTAAATAATGTTGGCTTAAATTTTTACATTAATTCTAGTTATTAACTGTTTCAATTATGTAGGAATATTCTCAAAATTCATGAAAAGGGAGAAGTGTTTTTAAAAACAACAACTATATTATATAGAAAATATATTATGAAGATAGCAGGATACAGAGAATGAAGACGGAGAAGTAATAGTAGTATGCCCAACATGGAGAACTCCGGGTTGTGGCACCCATTCTAAAAAGACTCCTGTCATAGATTATGTGTCGTAAATTTCAGAATGATGTCAAAAATTAAGAAAATATAATTAATTTTTAGTTTCCTAAAAGCTCTCTTTAAATTATTTTGCGCATATTAATGTATTACTATATTCATGTCTATACAATTTTTAATTATGGTTTGCTATCAATAATGATTTATGCATATTGATATCAATTGACGTACTTTCAAAGGCTTATTCTAACTGGATTCTAATTCAGTCGATTTTATAGATTAAACTAGGTAGCTTGTGATGTTAAATGTTGGGATGGAAGTATAATGAAATATACGAGATTTGTAAGAAGAGTAAAAAATGTTTAGAAGAAATATAGCAAACATTTGCCTGGATTCCACCTATTAAGATTGTATGATATAATTTTTGTTAAAATGAATTTAGAGGCTGCTATTGTTAGTATGACCGTTATTAATTTAAATATTAAAGCTGTTTTGTTCCTTTGTACATTAAAAAAAAAAAGGTATGTTTTAAGTTCATTTCATAGTCAACTTAATAGGTTTGTCTAACTGCCAGGTTATTTTTTTTATTATTATTATTTTTTTTTATAGGAGTAATTAGGCATTCCATGAAATTTATTTTTATCATTCAAGATAAAAAAAAGTGATCCTATAATCCTATATATATTCCTTCATGAAAGTTTCTTATATTGAAGTGTCTCCTTACTTTTTTTTCTAAACAATCAATTAAAATGATTACTTTATTTTTAAATTTGTTAGGAATATATACAGTTATTTAGAGAAAATTTTGAAGCCCAATTTTTAATATTTTTTCAGTTGAATATTTGTTATTTTTCCACTTTCATGGTATAAACGAAGACTTTGAATTGTCAAATATAAGCCAAATAAAATATACTTATCCTGCTATATGTTATTATCAGTTTTCTTCTTTAAGCTGTAGGCCAAAAACTATGTAAAAAGTCTGCAGTTTATATATTTGCAACTACTTGTAGGTGGAACTGAAAGTTAGCCGCTTCTTGGAAAGTCCAGAGATTGATGTTAAGAGAACTCGCAAAAGAAAAGGGAAAAAAAAGTCTACAAAATCTGCTTGTAAATTTAAGTGTAATCAGTAAGTTTTGTTTATATTTTTATATACATTTTATAGTTATATTCAGTATTTTGTATGCCATATATTCCTTAGTGACAAATTATTTTTTTTAATTTGTAATTTATATTATTCATTGATCACTAATGGCTTGAGCTATTAAACTAGCAAGGTTTTTGTGTCAAAATATCTCTTTTAATATTTTTTTTTTTCCATATTCAATCAATTAATTTTGAAGTTTTGACTATTTTTATTTTTTAATTAAAAGAATCTTTTATAGTTCTTATTACTAGACTCAAGTTTTGTGTTGTTGACTATTAGACTTACTAAAAAAAGTTCAGTGAAGATGTAGTTTGAAATGACTTCAGGCAGCTGACTCCATTACAAAATTATTCTATTGTAAGTTTGGAGTCTTTTTTTCTTAAAACAGATTATAGTGAGCTTATTTTCAATTTTTTTATTCATTAAAATAGTAGGTAAACTTCATCACTTTGTTATAAATTTTTTTTTCACATAGAAAGTTATTTTTTTATATACATTTTGTTAATATTGGATGTGTGAATAAGTTTCCTCTATTTATCTAAAGAATTTTTATTTAACTACGTGCTTCTGGCAACACTAAAACCAACTTTATCCAAGAACTAATCCTCTGTACTTGGTTGTCTAATTTAAATCTTCAAAATGTATACTACATTGTTCATTTCTCTTTAAACATGGAGAATTTTGAACCCTCAAAACTGATTTTTGCGGAAACTTTTATTATACTATTTTAAAAAAAATAAAACTGCAGCTCAAAGAAATAGAATTATTGTGAAAACTTATAGCAATCATGCTCTATCAGGAAGAATATGTAGAGAATGGTTTCAACGCTTTTAAAATAATGATTTTTATCTCTAGGATTATAACCGTCCAGACATTCCAAAAAGGAATAAGACAAAAAAAATTATTACTGCCCCTTATTATTACGAGCATTACTGCCCGAAATCATCACAGGAGATTGCTATAGACTACAATTGATGCCTTTGCGTCAAAGCGACCTCAAAATGAGGAGAGACATGGTAAGGTAATTTTACTGTATGATAATACTCAATCTCATATTGGAAACACTGAAATGGGAAGTTCTTCCTAACCTGCCATATTCACCAGACATTGCTCTTTCCGACTACCGCTCATTCCAATCGCTGACTCATGGCGTGGCTCAGCAGCGCTTCCATTCTTATGATGAAACTAAAAAGTGGCTCATAGAATAACTGGATTGTCTCAAAAGATGTTTCTTCAGTTTCTATTTTTTTATATAAACCAACTTTATACCAATGTTTTCACTTCCACAATCCCACTACGATGTTTCGGCTCTTCGAGCCATTTTCAAGTCTAAAAACAATTTTTCAATTCACAGTCATATCTAATATTCTTTAGTTATCTTTTCATGCATGATTATTTGTATAATCATTGACATATTTTAAAAAACTTACGTGTTTTGAAATATAAAATTTTTTGTAATTACCTATCATGTACTTAGCCATTACATTTCTTATGTAAAATACATGTGTCTTCTTGTAATAACATATATTTATAAATTAATGAAAAGGAAGTTTATAAATGAAAAGGTTAAAGAAAAACTTATTACCAGATATTATACAATACCACAAATACATGGTCTTAGTAAATTACATACAAATGACGAACCTCTTAGACCAATTGTAAACTATTTGAACAATAATAACAGATACAATGTGAAAAATGCAATACAGACATAAGAGAAAATTAACAGTATAAATAAGATAGACGAATATGAATTTGTAGTAAGATATGATGCTGAATCTTTATTTACGAATGTTCCACGGAATGAAATATATAAAATACTGGGGACAAAATAGAACTTTACTTGGATAAAAAAATTTTTATGAAAGGAATTAAATTAATTTGTGAAAATGGCTATTTCTCCTATAATAATAATTATAGCAAAATGAAAAATGGTCTATCGATGGGCAGATATATGTCAATCGATCTTTCGGGCATATATCTTAATAATGTAATAGATAAGACTATAATTAAATCGGAAAAAAAAACTGAAGCTAATTATAAAGTACATGGACGATATACTTACAATAATAAATATAATGAGAAGTTGAGGCATTCCAAATGCCAAGTATTTCTAATAGTCTTAGGACAACATTTGACTTCTTCCACTAGCTATATACAGTATTTCTCCCAATTTGTACGTTTTGGGTTTCTGTATACAGACTCATTCATATTATACCCAAAAAAATCAAATCTGATATAACGGTGATCAGAGCATGATTCTTCATTAGAAATGTGCCATCCCCTTATCCTAGAACTCAAGCAACGCATTCTTAATGTTATATCTATTACTTCTGAGCGAATTTTATTAACAAAGGTGGCAACATTGCCCCTATTTAGAATCTCGATATCGAAGCTACTTAGGTACTCTAAAAGAGACTCACCTCTCCAATTGTTCTTAGAGCTTCCCCAGATCCTATGGTGAGCATTGGCATCCACTTCTGCAATCACTTTTTCCATCCTATCCCCTAAGCTTCTGAGAGCTGCTATAGGGATGTCTTCTTCATGGGGGAGATACCCTGCCGCCACTATAATTCTCTCCCCATCCTTCCCCTCAGAAAGGGCCAGTTAAGCTGTTGTCAGGTCTCGGAAACAATGATGCCACAGGGGCATCAGCTTAATTCTATTCTTGAACAGGATACAAGTTCTTGGACACTCAGGCACTGCAATAATGGAAATAACAGCCCTCTAATCCTGTTCTCGAACAGATGAAGTTCTTGAATCAATGCAATATCAATATCCTAACCTTTAACATGCTGATGCAGCACTCCACAAGCTTCCACACAGTGATGGAGATTCATCTGCAACAGCTTAACCATCATTAAAGGGAGCTAGCTGCAGGAGGATCGCCCTCCGCCGGGGTCCAAGGGGGTACATCTGTCCTGATTCCATGTTTCTCAGGTCCGGAGACCCCTCTCCCACACCCAACGGAGATAAGCCCTCCCAAGGTGGCTCATACACTACAACAATTCCACTAATGGAAGCAAAAGTTCCCTCTATCTCCTCTACATGGGAAACTTTTAAAGAAGCAGTACCCACCTTTGCGGTCTGCACTCTAGGTTTGGGCGGCTTCTTCTTCTCAAACACCTTAAGTACAACTTTGGCAAAGCCATACGTAGCCATCATATTTCTGCCCTCAAGGTGTTTGATACTTGTTTCGGGGATTCTAAGGATTCCGTAGAGTCAGTTAGTCGCCGCCTTGGTTCCCAATATCTGCCAACTATCGATATCTGGGATCCTACCATTTTGAATGTGGAGTCTCCTAATGAGTAGCTCCTCCGCGATTTTCTCACAGGGAAGTATGCTTCCACCCTGACAGCTTTTTTGAGTTGCTCTAAATTACCAGCACGGAGTTTAATACCCCCACTGATAGTAAAGCCCTCCACTACACTATAAATCCAATCTTTGGTGGCTTGTTCATCGCAGATGTTGATACATCCCCCAGATGGTGGCTGAAGCCACTACATTCAGGGATCACGCCACCGAACTCCAGACGATCAACAAATTTGATCACCTGGGCTTTAACTTCCTCGCTCTGTTCCCTAGAAAGCTGCACTGATGGATATTCACAAGGGATAATTGCCACCCTACTGCCTACTTATTCACACACTTTCTATACATTACTCCTCCATAATTTAATATAAGTAATATACCATATGTCTGATTTGATTTAGCATGTTTTGCTTTGGAACTATTTTAAAATATTTTTTTTTTTACCTATTATGGCTGTTTCAATTTGTTGTGCTCATAACACTTGTTTACCATAGTTGCAGCGCATTATTCCGTTACAAATCTACTCTTTCCTACCATGCAAAATCTGGCTGTGGGCGTGGTCTTCTTTCGAGCCAAGGTGGTGTTGTAAAATCCTCTGGATCTGCCACCTGCCATATTTGTGGAAGACGATTATCTTCACGTACTAGTTTGATGGTTCACCTTAGGATTCATACAGGTAATGTCATAGATGGTCCGATTAACCTCTCTAACCATTTTAAAACTTATCAATAGAGAATACAAACTAAATTCAATCTGAAAAATAATCCAAAAACTACCTAGTGAAGGCATTAAATAATTATTATAATCATATCAGCATGTACTTAATCTGATATTACATCATGGGTCCATGAAAATATATCTGAATTCATATTAAGCTGTTCTGTTTATGTTGTTTTTTTCTATTTATAGTTCAGCCGATTATGGGTTAATAGCAGAAGTAACATTTTTGTAGATGCTTCACAGTCCATCATTGCTTGTATCCAGAACACTTTCTGCCATCATTGTTTGAACTCTGGTCAGACAGTTTTCCTGAAAGGGTTAATGTATTTGTAATTTGAAAGAGTGCCCCACTAATAAGAAGACACGCCGCAAAGCGATTACTATGATAACTGAGCAAGACTGAACATCATGCACAACTTTATGATTTTTGATTTTACAAATTTTTGAGAAAATACCAACATCCATTTGAAAATTACAATGTTTGATTATCTCATTTATTAATTTTGTTGCTGTTTAGAATTATTGCAAGTTCTATGGGGACCTATTATTTTGTGTTTATGTTTAAAAAGGAATATTTTTTAAAATATTTATTATTATTCTTACTAGAACTAGTCTAATAGCTTTTATACTTCAACATAAAAAATATATATTTACTCCTTTTTTACAGAGATAGTAGCCTAGGTGTTAGTGTCATATTAATAAATGCATATGCATTAGGTGAAAGGCCTTTCAAGTGTGGTGAATGTGGTCAAGCGTTCACTCAAAATGCTCACCTAAAAGATCACACTGCAAGATTGCATTCGGAAGGAGAAATATTTCTTTGTCGCATCTGCAATCAAACTTTTCCTAACCGAGGGAGACTGAGAGAGCATTCTACTGAACATGAAAGTTTGCGTGGTTTTCAGTGCCAGGTATATTTTATATATAATTTAAAAGGTTTAAGTTTATGTATAATTACTCATTAGTAGAAATATGATAAGCAAAATACAAAAACAAATGGTTGTCTTATAAATTTGATTTGAACAATTATAATGATATATGTATTTTGTATGAAAGATGAAAAAACAGGCTGACAAAAATATCAATTTGTTTTATATTGTAACTTCTTCAATTGTTTACTCCTATTATTCAGAATATAAAAAAATTAATAATAAATTACTTCTGTTCATTTTTCCTACTTTTGGTGTCTTGAAGTTTTTTTTCTTCATCATTTTCTTATTCAACTTGAGGTGAATTTCAAAATTTTTCCTAATAAATCTCAATTTAATTAATACAGACTCAAAGCTTATTAAACAAAGAAGTTTTCTAAAAGTGGGCTATCTGTAGTATAGTTGGATAATGATAAAAAAAAAGTCACGTATAATTTATGATTTTTTTTATTAACAGAATTTAGCCATTTGTGAGTTTAGCCTTACAAAATTCTCTTTAAATGGTTTTAACCATGACAAACTTTCCATTTAAAGTAAACTTTGTCTAGTTTACAGTGAGGCAATTTTTAAATACATAAAATAAATATTTCTTAAGTTATCGTTTCCTATTTAACAAAAAAAAAAAAAAAAAAAAAAAAAAAAAAATTAGAAAAACACAAAACTTGTATTTCCTACTTTATTGTAGTTCTTGAGGTCTGCGATCATTCCTATAAATATTTCCCTCTACTTACGGGACACCCTGTACACATATACAAATGTTTCTTGGATTTACCTCCTAGCCTAATCTCATTAAAATCTCTAGAATGTTTTTTTTTTTTTTTTTCAAATCTACAGAAAAGAACAATACAGAAACATATGTAATTTATTATTTTTTTTTTTATTTGTTACAATAAATTAGGCCATTTTTCACCAACATTTTATTATTACGCATCAATTTAACGTTTTGACCATACTAAGGGTCATTTTCAAAACTGGAAAATTATAATATCATTATTAGTTAATATTCAGCAATTATAAAATGAATTTCTTATTACATTTAATTGAATTGTCTAACGTTTTATGTCAAATTATTTCCGATATACTTAAATTTATATAAAATATACATAAAGTATCACTTTTTATTATTAATTTTAGTTTGTCTGATATTTTATTTAATATCTGAAGAAAATTTTTGGTTTCATTTTTCTTCAATATCATGAGGATATCGTCTATATATTTTATGTCTATTTATGTATCTGTCTATCTTATGTATCTATGTCTATTGTATTATGTATTTAAACCACATAATGGACCAAGCTTTAATAAAACTTAATATAACTCCAAAACTCTGTATAAAATACATAGACGATATCCTCATGATATTGAAGAAAAATGAAACCAAAAATTTTCTACAGATATTAAATAATATATCAGACAAACTAAAATTTACAATTGAAATAGAACATGATAATAAAATCAGATTTCTGGACATTATGATTTATAGGAATGAAATAGGAGAACTCACCACTTCCTGGTGCAAAAAATCCATAGCTAGTAATAGAATTTTAAATTGGCATAGTAACCATTGTCCAAATCAAAAATTAATTTAGCTAAAAACTTAATAGAAAAAGCTAAAATGATCACGGATAATATACATATCAATAAAATAAGAATTGAAATATATAATATATTATTGGATAATTGGTACCCTAAAAGAATTATAAATAAAATATGGTACAAAAACCATAAAATGAAACGGAGTGATATTAATAATGATAATAAACAGCAGAAAATAAACCTTAACAAAAATAACTACCGAAGTAAAATTTTAAACAAAAAACCGAATCTAATCACAAATTATTTTAAAAATAATAATTCGGAAATATCTAATAACCTTGAAAAACAAAAGTTACTTAGTGCCATACAATTAGAAAATAAAATTGAACAATGTAACATTAAATATCATTCAATTACTTATATTAAAGATCTCACTAGTAAAATTCAAAGGACGTTCAGGGATTATGATCTATCTGAAATTAAAGTAGGTAAAAAGCCTGTAAATAAAATTGAAAAATTGTATACCAATACCAAAGATATTATACCACGTGACATGAAAAATAACCTTATTTATAAAATAAAATGTAAAAATTGCACTAATAAATCTTATATAGGACAAACGGGACAATGGTTCGTAAAGCGAATGAAACAACATGAACAAAATTGCAAGCCCAAATCAAACACATCAACCGGCCTTTCACAACATGCAACATATAACAACACCAATTTGATTTTAAAAATGCCAAAATAATATACAAGGAAAGTAGTAACAATAAAAGAAAGATTATAGAGTCTATATATATTACAAAAACTTTACATAATTCTGTTAACAACCATACAGATGTGGACAATATAAATACTTTTTACGCAAATATAATTAATAAAATTCGTATATAATAATATAATAATCCACCAATGCAAAACATTAGAAGGAAAATTCCTCTCCTTTTGACTATCCCTACCAGGACGATATAAGTCAGTCCTTCCAGAAATGACGTGGGCGAAGCCCCTATAAAAAATGACAAGTTAATGTTCACTGAACACATTAATTAGAACATTAAGGATGAACATATTAGGAGGACTCATCAAGGTAATAGTCATTTATTTTTAATTGTTAGAGTTTTAATGTTTATAGTTAAGTACACGTAAGGGTTTTTTTAATAAAAATTGTATACTTTATGTATATTTTTATATAAATTTAAGTATATCGGAAATAATTTGACATAGAACGTTAGACAATTCAATTAAATGTAATAAGAAATTCATTTTATAATTGCTGAATATTAACTAATAATGATATTATAATTTTCCAGTTTTGAAAATGACCCTTAGTATGGTCGAAACGTTAAATTGATGCGTAATAATAAAATGTTGGTTAAAAATGGCCTAATTTATTGTAACAAATAAAAAAAAAATAATAAATTACATATGTTTCTGTATTGTTCTTTTCTGTAGATTTGAAAAAAAAAAAAAAACATTCTAGAGATTTTAATGAGATTAGGCTAGGAGGTAAATCCAAGAAACATTTGTATATGTGTACAGGGTGTCCCGTAAGTAGAGGGAAATATTTATAGGAATGATCGCAGACCTCAAGAACTACAATAAAGTAGGAAATACAAGTTTTGTGTTTTTCTAATTTATTTTTTTTTTTTTTTTTTTTTTTTTTTTTTTTTTTTTTTTTTTTTTTTTTTTTTTTTTTTTTTTTTTGTTAAATAGGAAACGATAACTTAAGAAATATTTATTTTATGTATTTAAAAATTGCCTCACTGTAAACTAGACAAAGTTTACTTTAAATGGAAAGTTTGTCATGGTTAAAACCATTTAAAGAGAATTTTGTAAGGCTAAACTCACAAATGGCTAAATTCTGTTAATAAAAAAAATCATAAATTATACGTGACTTTTTTTTTATCATTATCCAACTATACTACAGATAGCTCACTTTTAGAAAACTTGTTTGTTTAATAAGCTTTGAGTCTGTATTAATTAAATTGAGATTTATTAGGAAAAATTTTGAAATTCACCTCAAGTTGAGTAAGAAAATGATGTGATACATAAATTCAGGAAATAATGGTCAGGAGAGGGGGAAGGGAGAGTCGAGCGAAACACATGGTGGTTAATATTTAATGTTTACCCAAATTGTTGCCCACTTTGCAGGGCTTCATCATGATTAAAGAAGAGCTAAAAAGAAAAGACAACCATTTACATTATTAGAAAAACCAAGAACATCTTTCTTAAACATAATAGTTTCAATATACAGGGTTTCCTGTAAGTAGGGAGAAATATTTAAATGGTTGATAGACATCAAGATCTACAAAAAAGTTCATATATGCAATCGCCCAATTTCCAGCAGAAAAGTAGAAAATTTAAGAATTGTGTCTTTTTAAGCGAGTCATGTTTTAAGTCCGATGGAACTATCCGGCCTTGCGTTCTTAAGCCCAAAAAAATACTATTTTCGAGATAATGCAAGGCAAAGGGTTCGCATCCACACAACCTTACTTTAATTATAGTACTGTCATGTAATACATGTCTCATTTTGTCGACTTGAGGCACCTATGACCGAGAGAGGAGAAGTTTATATTATTTATCGAATGTGTTTTTTGTCGGTAAGCCACATATATATATATATATAAAGGTGTGTTTTTTTTTTTATATGGGTGGGTAGGTGGAAATCTTCAAAATACACGAATAGGCCCATATCTATTCGCTTGTGGGATTCTTACCCGCTAAAACCAACCTCCCTTCACCTGTTCATTTCTCTCCACGGGACTGCCATTAGGCATTACTTCATGGAGAGGAATGGCAATATGCCATCTCATTTTTAATTGTGAGACATTTATCTTATATATAGGCTCTAAAGTACCTGTTTCCAGTCAACAGTTGGGTTACATTAAAGTCCACCTCACCGTGTTGATGACCATACCATGAGCTAATATCGGACTAATCTATAGGTCCATGTTCCAGTACCAGCAGTATCCCATCGCTGTTGGCAAAGTTCGATGGTTATTTTTCATTTTTCTCTTGCGATTCTATGACTTCTACTGTAGGATCTACTCCTCTCATTAACTAACAGTTCAAGAGGAGGCATACTAACCATTACACAAACCACTTCACAGGATGCAGTCCGGAATGCCCTAGCTACCCTTAATAGAGTTCTGCCATACACAGAGACCATCTGTCTCCTGTATCATTCTGTGAGTATTGATTCTTTCCAAATTGGAGCTCCATATAAAAGAATCAAAGGTATAATAATCGCAAGAAGCCTTCTGGGGCTCTCTCTAGGGCCTCCTACATTCGGCATAATGCCCGATAATGACATGACTCTAAAAGCTTTAACGCTGATATACTCCGTGTGAGCATTGAACATGAGACGTGCATCAATGAGAACTCCCAGGTACTTCAGATATGGCTGAGAGCGAATCTCGTGCCTACCTATTGCGACAGTGACAGTCTCAATTTTCTTTCTGCTAGTGAAAAGGACCGCCTCAGTCTTGTGATCAGCAAGTTGCAGGCCCACAGAAGACAGCCAACCTCGGATAGAAGCAATAGCTTGATTAGCGATCAGGGTAACTTCTTCAACATACTTCGCCACTACCTACTTACATACCTACATACTCTTCGGTATCAGTACAATATGCTGTCTCTTCCAGGGTACCGGAAACGAACCTTCGTGGAGGCAGGAATTAAAAAGTTCCTTAAAAAGGTGTGTGTGTGTAAGGGTCTTATTCTGCTATCTTATTGGAAATTTATTGAAACAAACTATTGAATATCTATTAATTACCAAAAAAATATATTTAAATTTTATTACATGCATATGGTGTTGGATAACAGATTAGATGTGAGCTACAGACTGTTGCAGTAGGCATGCTGCTTACCCTCTCTTTCATATCTCTTTGGCAACATTACATGACATTTATTTCTGAGAGTATATTTATATTTATTAAATGTACCATATTATTAACAAATATTAAAATATTCAAGTTATTAATTTATTTATAGTTCTCATGTTTTTGTAATAATTTTTAGGAATGCAGTAAAAGGTTTCCAACTGAGGAAAGGCTTGAAGCCCATAAACGTGCTGGACATGAGAGCAAACCGCAGTCATGTCCTCTCTGTGGAGCAGCTTGTGAATCACGTGTCGCTCTTAAGTCTCATCTTGCTACACATTCTCCACCCCTTCGCTGTCCTCTTTGTGACCAGTCGTTTCCTAGTTTGTCCTCATGGAGACAGCATGTTACTAGGCAGCACAGGTGAACAACCATCCTACAGTTATATAAGTTTATCCAGTTATTTGTTTACTATTGAATTGTTACTTTTGGAAATACTTGTTTTATTTATAAGTGTATATTTATACTATAACTTAAGAATAGAAAAACAAATGCATTTCAGGCTGCTTTTATATTGTATTTTCTCTACTTTAAACTTGTGATGCCCTTATTGTTGTATGTATTGCCTTGGAATTTTTATTATTATTATTAAATAAAATAGTAATCAAATTCATAATTTGAAAGTATTTATACCTCTGAAATCCCATTTACAAGTTCGGACTAAATATTTTTTAATTTTATGAATAATATTTCAGTAATTACTTCTTAACAGCTACTTAAAAGGAAAAATCCTCAATTAAAGTAAATTCAGAAAAGGATTGAGGGCATTTCTTTTTCTTTTCTAATCACGAATAAAATGTATTATGAAAAAAAAAAATAAATAAATTAGGTGATTTTGATAATATGACACAACTCAATCTGTTGGAATTAAAGTAGTTATCAAACACTAATTTTCTAAATAGAGATAACCTCTACATTATTTTGAACCATGGCTTTCATTTTTAGGTTTTCCCTAAATAACAAAAAAATTATACAAGTATTTAGACGATTATCTCGTAAAAATACTCCTATGAAGTATTTTTATGTAGATTTATGTAGTCCAACCGTGAGGGTATACGTAATTATAAATATCTCATTATATGATCATAATGGGTGTAATTACAGAAGCCCTTTCTATAGAGTGTGTATTTATGTATATGAGAGTGATCTTAAAAGTTTCCGACCTAACAAAATATACAAGACATTTTTTCTGAAATTTTTTTATTTATTTTTCAACATAGTCTCCTTTTAACTCTACACACTTTCTCTGCAAAATAATTGTTCACGAAGGTGGTTGCCTCTTCATCTGAGGAAAATCTCTGTCCTCCAAGCCGCAATTTTTAGACAAGGGAACAAAAAGAAGTCGTTTGGGGCTAGATCTGGTAAGGCAGGTGGTCAAGCAGTTCAAACCGCAATTTGTGAATTTTTGCCATGGCAACCGCTGAAGTGTGAGACAGTGCGTTGTCTTGGTGAAACTGGATTTTTTTTTTCTGCAAATGTAGCCGTTTTTCCGCAAGTTCTGCCTTCGGCTTGTCAAGTAGTGATTCGTAGTATGCTCCTGTAATGTTTTTTCCTTTTTGAAGGTAGTAGATTAAAATAACTCCATGACTATCCCATAAAACAGTCCACCATCACTTTTCCAGACGAGAATACAGTTTTTGCTTTTTTTGGAGCTGGTTCCTCCTTTGCAGTCCACTGTTTGGACTGTATTTTTGTTTTGAGCATATAATGGTGTATCTACAGTAATTAATTGATGCCCAAACTCTGATTTATTGCTCCTAAACTGCACCAACAGAGCGTTAGAAATGTTCATTTGAACACATTTTTGGCAATGCGGCACCCAATGTGCGGACAGCTTTCTAATATCTAAATGTTGACCTTATATGTAACAAACACGTTCTTTTGACGTGTTCAGAACCTTTGCTATCTCTCTCACTTTAATTTGGCGGTCATCTAGCACCATTTGGTGAACTTTGGCAATGTTTCCTTTGGCAGTTGCAGTTTTCGGACGTCCTGAACATTCATCGTCTCCCAAGCTCTTACAGCCAGGTTTAAATTCAGCTGCCCAAAATGATGGTGCAGAGTTCCCATACACAGAATCCAATTCATCTTTGATTTGCATAGGCGTATTGCCTTTCAAAAACAAACATTTAATGACAGATCGATACTCGATTTTGTCTATTTTCACAAAAACACTCACATCTACTCACTCAAATGACTGTTACATAAAAACTGTGTTATATATATATATATATATATATATATATATATATATATATATATATATATATATATATATATATATATATATAAACAATACTTTTTGAACCAGATGCTTATAACATGATGCCTTTAATTTTTCAAAGCAATTTATAGGTCCTCCAAATTTATCATTCAACAGTTATTCTCTTGTTAAGTGTGTACAGAATCTTATGAGTCAAAATAATTTTTCAGTCTTAACGATTTTAGTATGTGATCTAGAAAGTTTTCAAAATGTACTTTATTTATTTTCTTTTTGTATTCATAAATCCTTTCTATCATATTTCTTCTTTGTAGTAAAATTCTTAAGTACTATATAGTTTAGAAATACTTTATTATTTTCTTTATTACCTTCTAATTGTCTAATGAGATTTATAGTATCTAGTTCTGCCATAAATACTGTTACAGAAGTTGAACTTTGTTTACATCCTTGGGTATTATTTAGATAATCCTTACCTCTATCAGCTTATTTTCTTTCCATTTCAGGATAATAATCCAAAGTATTTTTCTTTCGCTCAGTTAACATGGTGTGGGGTGATAAAGAAAACCGAATAGCTCTGATCGCCTAACACAAAGTTGGAAAATGTAGGTCAGAGATTTTCAACACTTTGAAATCTTTGGGTATCAGCCGTATGTTTGTGTACTGCACTATAAATAGATATAATGAGACCCTATCTGTTTGTGACAGACCTCGACTTGGCCCTCTCACACTGTGAGAATGGCAAATACAGTGAGGGGAGTGACTGCTCAAATCAGAAGAAATCCCATTCCAAAACAACACCTCATGTCTCAGGAAATGGGAATCTCTGTCAGATCAATGTCTTGCATAATAAAAAGTGACTTCAGGATGGGTGCATTCCAAAGAATGACAGGACAAAGACTAATCACTTCTCCCAAAAATGCAGTAGATGCAAAATGCTCCTTGGTCATTACACCAATGGTCTTTATTGAAAGATTTTGTTTAGCGATGAGAAAATTTTTACAATTGTAGAATAATGTAATCGTAATTATTTCCAAATTTGCAATCTTTTGCTGCCAATCGTAATTTCATTATAAATTATGCTATTGACTAATTTTTTTCACGGAATACTTGCCCAAATTTTACTATTTCTGCCAGATAACTTGTAGTTGGTTTTAGATATTGTAATGTAAATATTACATAGTGATTTTAAATAGTGGCGCGAAGGTAGTTACATCACGAATTACTGCCAAAAATGGACAAAGAATGACAGATGGTGTGGGAAGAAGAGACAGAAGGTAACCAGCGGGCTAGTAAAGAGGATCGAGAAAAGAAAATGTGAGTTAACAAGTAGTGAGTGTCAACAAAGGAAGATCAGAGGATTGAAAGAACTTGAACACAATCGGAGGAAGATTCACTGCAGATCAGGGTGAGTGAAATTTAAATAGTGACACTCCGAAAGCGTGCCAAGAGTATACCCCGACAAACATTGGAAATTCATAAATGTTATTTACAATTAATGTATGCTTTTATATTGTATAATTGAGGACGTGTGTTTGTTGTCTAAACCCAACCCGAGAATTAATTATTGATTAAAATAAATATAATATGATTCAGAAACTATTGTGTTTACTTTTCCAAGGGAACGTAACCTTACAATATGTATCTAAAAATGTTTTAATTTCAGAATATGGCAATTAAGTAATTTTTGTAGGATGGAAATAACCCACTACCAGTTCATATAAATCTGCTCCCACACATTTTAACAATAAATTACGTCTTGACTTCTCTGTGACTTTGTTGTTACCATTTATATTTTTTATTTCTTATCCAGTTCAAAATGTTCAATATAATATTCCCATTTTTCCGAATTATTATAAGGAGGAAACTGAAATGTACTTTCTCCTTCCTCTATATCATATTTACTTCCAGTTAACCTGTTTTTCTTGGTACTCCTGGATGATTTAATGGACTCAGAAAAATTAACTTCCTCATCCAACCCCTTGTCTGTTTTAGAATTTTGATTTTATCTATCTGTTCACCATCATCGTCACATGTAATAGTTGTGTATAGACACAAAGAAAGGTTGAGTAAGCCCCAAATAAATCAATTCATATATTTTCAACAATGTACCACATCACGTGTTTTTTTTTTTACATTAACATCTAACAATAATAATAATCCATACTACAGATGAATTGGCTTATTTTATAGATATAAATATAAAAGTAATAAATTTAATATATTGTATCCCATTGAAACCAATATGATGTTATATTGTCATTATATCAGTAAATGTAAAATTTGGATGATAAGTAATGGCTACTTGGTGTGTCTATGTAAGTATTTATTTATATAATACATTTCCCTTTTAGTTTTGAACTATGACTCATGCTGATTACTCTTTCACCATATAATTGACTTCTAAGACCCCTTGGAATGAATGCTAAGACATGTGTCTAATATTTTTCGATGAAAAATCACCAAAAAATATAAGGTTGGAATCACTGACTCCCTTATTGTGATCTCCCATTGTAAGGGCACAATGTTTTGATTTTGTAGAAGAAAAAAAAATTAAATTACTTTGTGAATTAATTTTCAAAAATAAAAAAAAAATAAAAAATGAACAAACTGAAAACATATCTTTATATATTGAAATACTTTTAAGGGGAAGTGAAAGCCATTCTCTTAGGTCTTGAGAGATTAATTGAACGGAAAGACAAGAAAGTTGCTTTCTTTGTTGACTCACAGGCAGCCATTTTGTCTCTCCAAAATGGACATAATATAAATCCAAATGTCCCTAAATGTCATCTATGTTTGAAACGATTAAAGGAAAATGCGACAGAAGTATCTTTCCAGTGGATACCAGGCCATTGCGGACTCTAAGGAAATGATGAAGCTGACAAACTGGCCAGAATAGGTTCTGGGATGATCCAACCAGTTATTGGATTCCACGAAAAGAATTATAAAACAGACCCTCCAAAGTTCACTGAAGGAGAAATATGTGCAAGCAATTGAAGGGAAACGATGGAGTGGATTGCTCGATGAAAGTGGCAGGATCCCTAGAGATCTCCCCAGAGGGCCACGGCTTGCCCTCATGCTCACAGGACATGATTTCCTGCAGAAGCACCTCCACCGCATCGGTATAAAAGATAGCCCAACATGCCCTGCATTACAGGACATAAGATGTTCCTTCAATAAAATGGACAGCCCTTATGCTAGGAAAGCAAAATTATATTGGACTGCAAGAGCATGCATGGCTAATGAAGCAGGCTTTACTTAGGCGTAGGAAAAAAAAATATATGTGTATATATATTACAATAAACTAATTATGTACATTATATATAATATGGTAGTATAGATCTCTTTTTCCGCTCTCGAGGAGTGATGGTCTTTGATGATGTGGTATCAAATGAAAGGGAAAATCATTGAAAAAATTGAGAGGTTTCAAAAGTGGAAAGATTGAGATGGGATAAATTGCCTTTTAAATATTTTGACGCTGCGTTATAAAGCTCTAAAATGTACTATTTTTTATATATATAAAATTTATATATATAACTCCAATTAAACATTCTTTATTATTAATTTAAGTAGTTTCTAGTGGCAAAATTTATACTTTTATTCACAGTTTGCTTCCCACTTAAATCGTGAGATAATTGACAAAAAGTTGAGAAAAATGGTGGCTTTCAAAAATATTGAGCCGTTTGGCATGACCTGCACCCCCAAATTATC